ATGTCTAATTCATCCATTCAATGACTTGTCGAAATTCTGACTATATATATCTTCAAATTTACTGACTTTAGAATAAAGAATGCAAATTAAAAAAAAATATACAATTCAAATGAAAATTAAAGAATAGAAATAAAAATTATACAATACAAATAAAAAACTATAAAATACAAATAAAAATTATCCAATACAAATGGAAAAGGTCGAATATTGCAACGTTTGACAGTCCTTTTTATTAATCATATTTATTTTCCAGTATTACTATCCTATACAATGTAACCAAAATCTTTATGGATTTATTCATTTATGAGTTATTGAATCTCATATGTGAAGGTACCCCCCCCCACTAGTGAAACTCGAAAATTCTCATTTCCCTTATGTCTCCCTGGCGAATTTCACAGCTTTGGTCATATCCTCTGAATAGAGTTTATCCATATACATGTATTTACTCTTTTAATAGAGATATTGTTAAGCTTACATTCTACAAGGCAGCCTTAGTTCATCAACAAAAATCAAGCTTGGTCATTTCGAACCCTATCGTCTAGAAAGTCCCACACATGACAAAAAGATGGACAACTCGAGTAAGTAACTGTGAATGTTTGCGAAAAAAAAATCTTGACAAAATCTATATTTGGCTGGAACTGGGGATCGGGGATTAACATGCCAAAAATTAGGCAAACGACCCACGAGTGCGCGAGCGAGAAGAACGTCAATGTATTAAAAGTTGATATCGCAAAACAAAATCGCGCGATCGGTTTCTTTCAGTTTTGAGGTGATTGTCATACCGGTAATTAATTATGGCTTACAGTATTGAAAACAGTTTAAGTGGTAGTGACGTGGTGGTTAAACAGGTGGAAGGAAGATTAGTCCGATTATGACGTGGCGATCTTACGTCATCAACGTCATTGTCAAATATTGTTGGATACCTTTCCAGACTATTTCTGACGACGGAAAAAATCTGCACTGCCACCTTTTTTGCCTTTGACCTTGAATAGGTAATACAATAGCCAGGGCCCATGGAAGCTCCGTCAACCGTATCACCGAGTCTGATGATTGCAAAAAAACCTACATCGTCTGTAAACGATATGTATACCTAAAGTGCATAAATTGATACTACAAGATGTGTTGACAAATCTGTCTTCTTCAATATACACGTGTTTTTAGCTTTATATATCTTTTCCGACATAACGTCATATACGATTTCATGATTCAGTAATTCTGAACACTGATTTTAGCGCACAGACACCAAGATACCCACTTGACCAGATTTCGTAATTTTTGGCCATGTAGTCAAAATACTTCGTATTTAATTCTACCCTGGCGTGTTTCTTTTACTTACCTTTCAACAGGTCGGAGAGAATACTCGAAATCGGGTATTATCCGTGAAATCGCGTATAATACTCGATATTAGGGTATCGTTGAATCCGCGAAATCGGGTATTCCGTGCAACTTTCTATAAAAACTAAAGAATAAAGCAACGGCGCATTATGCCAGTAACTGTTACTTGTACATCAGTATCTTGTGGATTTATTTTTATTAAACCTAATTCATACGGTTGTCAAAAAAGTTTAAAATCACACGACAAACACTGCTGGGGTAACAAAGAGGACACAATGGCGTTATTATTTTTCAATATAATTTCTAAAAACAAATAACTACACTTCGTTTGTCTTTATTTCCCATTAAAGTATTCCATATACTTAATTTTCTAATTTGTGCACTATTCACGAAACGTGAAATTTTAAAGAAATTAAACGACTAACGCCGTGTTATGTATTTTTACTGAAAAATGTATGACGTCCCTTTCACGTGAAATATAAATCATTCCTAACAGTTAGAGAGTACAGTATAAGCGAGTCATAATTGTATATCTCTTCCATAATAGAATACAAACGTTATTATAAAGAAGAAAATAAAATAATGTAAATAAATACCCACGGGAAAACAGTTTGAAAATAGCTAATTGAAGGTGAGTATCTTTTTTTATGTCAATTTAGCATGAAATTTTTATTCAAAGACACCGTAAATTTTTTTTGTTGCATTTTAATCGATACGAGATTTGCTATTTTACCTTTATTTTATGCATTTGTGTGAAAATTGAGAGCGAGAAGTCATATGAACAGGATTTTCTGGGGGGTTTTTTGGGGGGGGGGGTATAAATAAAAGTCAAATGTGTACATCTTTTCATGAGCTTATAATACATTGAATTTCTCAATATAGATCGAGGTACAGTCATATTGAAATATGAATTACATAGTCAAGTTTTCATATTTCACATTTCTTATAGTTTTTACGTTTATGAACATGTTAATGAACAAACTGAAATAATGGAGTGTTCAGTTGCCTTGGAAACTCTTGTCTTACTTTTTGGGAATATAATTCCTCATCGGACATTAAAATTTCATAAAAATCGTAGCCACTTCCTTTCTTTGTTATACTATTTGATAGACAGGGTAAATTTCACCTCTTTACCTTCTAAATTTTTTTTATATCGCTATCTTATACCTTATGCTAATACAACGCACTATCTGATTGGTTCTAGACAATATGTCACAGTTTTCTTTGAGTTATTTTATCTATGATATGTATTACTCATGGCAATAACTTTTCCTAATACTCATCTATAATGAAAAAATGTGTTTAAAAAATAAACATGAATTCTAGTTACTTGTAGTCTCATATTGTGTTAGAAAATAACAGGTTGCTTTTTGTTTACCTACAATGTATATGATTTTTATTTGATGAATAAATCTTCCCTACGATTAAAAATATATGACCGAGTTTACCCGACCGTGACATTCAAAGAGAGGTCTCTTGGACCCATGTAGAACACAGTCGGGGTTGTTTTGTCAGAGGTGGTCAAGAAGCCTTTAGACCCCCCCCCCCTTTGAAGTCGCCAAGAAATGGTAAAATATTGATGACTTAGCGAAATTAAACGATCAACAGTTATGTTCTCTCATAAGCTGTATTCCTGAAACTATCACTGTCTCTGCTAAAATGTTAAGACATATTCTGCAAATATGTTTGAATGATAAATAAAAAAGAAAAGATTTTCAAAAAAAGAGAAAGAGGGTTCTTTTAGCCGAAATTTTAGACATTTTTATCATTACATTATTTATACATTCATAAATAAATTTGATTTTATGCACAAGATGAATGTGAAAGTAATTAATGACGCATAATTAGATACGATAGACAATCCCTTGTTTATACATGGCATCATATTTGGTGTGTGAAATGTGTTTCCGTATAATTTGATTTATTTACAAATTGTTCATGTTTGTCGTGTTGATGTGGAATTATTAAAATTCCTACATTCTGATACTTTACAATTCTGTTGTGTTAGGAATGAACATTAGGAAGATGCATATACTACAACATAAGGAAAAATATAAAGCAAATCGAACGCCTTTTTGTGTGCAGATCATGAAATGTACTGAGCTCCACGGGTATTTGTTGTCCCGAGCGCATTAATCTTGACGCCCAAATTCTTACTTGCCTAGTGATACCTTTAGAAAACATGTGTATCTAGATGAAAGTTAACTCGGCAACATGCGCCATCCCATTGTTTAAGTTTTATTAGGTGATTACACCTCCTATACCCGATTTCGCGGATTCATCGATACCCTAATATCGAGTATTATACGCGATTTCACGGATAATACCCGATTTCGAGTATTCTCTCCGACCTGTTCAACATATTTCAACATATTTCAAGCAAAAAGTTTTTGTAATCTTTCAAGTTAATATCTATACAAAGTAGTACACCGAGAAGCTACAAATACCTTTGCACGAGGTTAAATGTTAAATGTCTGTTGATATAAAATACTAAATCGAAAATCACAAGGTATTTTACTTAATGCCAAGGGATTTGTGATTTTTCATATGTGTATAATTTATTATAAGTATAATGTAATAATACCCAAAACCCTTCTTAACATTATCCTGATAACTCTCTTCAATCCCAACTCCCAATACCCTCTCCCTTCAAGGATTTATCCCTTTTAGCAAAATTCAGACAAAGTCTTTATCCAACCATTCCCCACGATAAATTTAGAATCAGGCTTTTTGAGATCACAGAAATAGAACTCATATTTACTTAGATTTCTGATTTGCTCAACTATTTTGTTAAAACCATTCTGGTTTCACATACAAATAGTTACTCTAATGTAGATATCAAAAAAGTTTTTGACTGATTAGTAGTTTTTGAAGATTTTCCAACAATTTGCCGGAAAGTCGATGAATACCAGTAGGGACCCGTTAATAGCAAAATTATTTTTGTATTCATTTTCAACAGAACTTATTCAGAACCTTATACATAAAAAAAATAGAAATCATGGACTTCAATCAGATATATATCGATGATGTACTAGTATTATCAATTAACAATATTTTCTTCCATTTATATATCGACTCGATGTATCCCAGCGAACCTGAAATAAAAGATACCACAGAGAGTTGTTTTATTATTGGATATTTTTCTAGATTAAGACATAAATGGTAACTTAACGACTTGTCTATTGTCCACTTAATCCCTTACATATGTAGCGATATACCTTTATCAACTGCAAATGGGGTTTATATCTTCCTGATACTGATGAAACTGATGAAACAAGAACATGAACAGTCACATTTTAAGACATTATTTTGCCAGTGCTATGGTTGATGCAATGACCTAGTCAGTAAAACAGTCTTTTATTAAGGATAAATAACGCAAACAAACTTTTTTTCATAAATCAGTAATATTTCTTATACATGTAGATTCATATTTAAATTTTATAACCTGATTAATGTTTACCAGAGATGCCATTTGTAATTATTTCACATGCTTTATAAATTATTAGTACATACATGTAGTTTAACGTACAGTGAATATGAAACAGTCTGACTTATAGACCTTTGTTCCAGGAAGATCAGCGAACAAAACCAATGCAAAATAAGTATAGTTGGTATTTTATAAAGAACTCTAACACCTCTATATAAAATTAAATGTTTTTCATCTCTTTTGATTGATTATAAACAGACACTACCTGTATATTTTAAAAATTTTCGTTTACAAGATCAGCATAGACATATACAGATTTCCCTTTTACCGTTTTTTCAGTAATTTTGAACATTGCCACAGGGGGGTACAAAGCCTCTTCTTCCTCGGCGTTAAACGCAATCTCTTCAATGCGTCTAGGACTCCACAGAGACGATCGAGAGTTGTTGAAAACAAATTCCACATTTCCATTAAATTTCCTATCATACATGGATGAAGGTGTAAATGACGTCCAAATAAAGGTAGTTCCGATCTCATATTGGTCAAGTATGTCCTCATCAAATTTAACTTCTCTGTAGGTCGGATTTGTTTCTTTTGTTAGGGCCGGAGAATACATCAGTACAGCCATTAAATAAGCGCTAAACGGACCCAGATTTTTGGCTTCTTCAGTCAGATTTATTTTTCCGCATTTGTGTTTTCGTAAGTTGGAGTTTACCTTATAGAAGGGCATGTTGGTGAACATTGAAATGACGGATGCTTCTAAATCAAGATCCATATTTTCTCTCAATTTTATCGCAGAATACCAGTCAAAATTTATGAGGTTATTATAAATAACAGTTTTAATTTCGTAGTCGTCGGTAAGGTATAGGTCCTGAAGTGCTTCAAAAAACCTTCCAGATACTTTTATTGAAGAGTTGATGAGATTTATTCCATAATTTACCATTGCTATCCCATCAGACCTAAGAGTGGAGAAACAAGCTGGGTCCTCAAACGTTCTTGCGGTTTCTTTTCTTTCCCGGCGAATTAGATTGACGGGTTCTTGACTATTCCTACCTTTAGTCAACTTAAAAGCATCATTTATGTGAAAGTTTCCGATAAAAATGAATGTTACCGTGAGACCAACGGTTGTAATGACCATTTTCTGTGAAACTGTTAAAGATAAAAGAAAAAGAAACATGCCTATATACTTATGTTATACATTTTATTTTTTCCAAACAATAAGGAAATCTTTTCATTTGAGTATTATACATACATCTATTCAGATTTAAATTTTACTGCCTCAAACTATATTTTTGTTTTAGGGGTGAAGGACAGAATAAGGAATAATTATTACTTACATCGTATCACTGGTCGACCTAAATACTGGTCTAACAGAAAACTGGCAGAACAGTGCTCTAAGATTTCGTTGAATCAATTTCAGGCTGCCTTTATAATCGTATTTCCAAGAGCCATTAAAACGGAAAACGAGTACATGTATTATAAATAAATTAACAAATTTTATCTGAATAAGGATGTTCATAACTACCATGATTAACTTTAAAACTATAATGATTATTAAGTTCAATTAATGCAGTTTAACATTTACTTCAAATTGATTATTAAATACATGGTGCACTGGAAATTTAGTCAAATTGAACAAATGTTGGGGAATGTGATGTGATTTTAAGAGCAATCTTGCATATACAATTTATTCGTAAAGAATGATTTTTGCTGAAAAAGATTTAAATTTAAAATTTTGACATCTTTAAAAAAGATCTTTTCTCGCCTCACCTATTCTCCTCATTCCATCTGGCACTGTTGATAACGCCCAAATACACTGCCTCCACCGCGCCTCTGTTTTTGCTCTCGTTGACTCCCGTTGAATGTATTTTGTTTAACGTCCCTCTTGAGAGAGACGTTAATCAACAAACAATCAATCAATATTGTTGACTCCCACTATTCCAAACTCAGCTGTACTCGTGTGTTCTTCTTCTTGTCATGTTGATTTCGGTCGACCTACTCCCGTCCTACTATCTGGATGGCATATCGGTGCGATGTTTCAAATTCTCATGTGCCTCATCCTTAGTACATGATTAACCCAATTCCACTTTCTAAGAATTGTTATTTCACTTGCTGTCATTGTCACCGGTCTATGATGGAGTTCTTCATTTGATATTTGACTCTCAGGATTTTCTCAGGCGTCTATTCTGGAAAGGTCAATGTTCTATTGTCTCCTTCCGATTTTTCCGATATTTGTCTTGCTTCAATACATTAGAACTGACATGACGAAGCTGTTCTATAATTCTAATTTTGTTTGAATTGAGTATTTTCAAACTGATGAGTTTCTTCTTTCCTTTGCCTTCTAAATTGCGATTGACGATTTCTAAAATTAATTGGTAATATCCCCATCAGATCTTGCCTTTGTTGCTAATACGCCTCAAAGGAAAGTGAATGTTTCTACACCCTCCACTTCTCTACTCTCAGTCATGGCCGGTGTAACGACGAAAAGTGACCCCTGTAGAATATTGACCTTAGGGTCATTTTTCTACGTAGAAAAATGACCCAGGGTCAATATTGACTACGACAAGTAGGGTCATTTTTCCGTGTGCATAGAAAACCATTCCAGACCACTAATTTTTGCTCCACACACGTTGAAAAATGACTATACTATAAAACCTTATATCTGTATCTCCTGATATATTTTTCTTATACTTTCAAATATAAGGAGGGGAAATTTTTTATGTACAGTACTCCTTTCCAACTTGTATTTGATTGCATATCTTAATAGAAGCAGCATAATCAATGTATCTGGTATGGATTTGTTTTTGGCTCGCAGAATTCCAGTGAATATTTATTCAACGAGGAGTCTAAATTTATCATTATATTTTTAGGTGTTTTTTTTCTCTCATTCAAAGGTTTTGTTCAAAATGGTATGATATGTTTCTGATAACCATGAACTTGTAGGGAAGCCCCCCGAAATTAGCACTTTTAACCATTTGAATTTATTTTTGACATTTTTTATTAATCCAAAAAGAGAGCATAGAAGCAAGAAAAGCAATGTAATTTACCCATATAAGTTCAATTCTCTTAGCTCTTAAATTTATACTTACATATATCTGTATGCATTTTGCTTTAAAACAAATACTTTTTCACTGTATACGAGAAATACCATACACATAGAGAACGTTTTTATAATGATATAAAAATATTCACCCAAAACGGGCAAAAAGAGTTTACATCTGGGTGAAGATGAATAATATTTCAACCTTCACAGATATCTTTAAATTTACTAAAAAGCTACCCTTTTCAACACATTTTAGCCCACAGATACCTGACAAATGGCTGCTGTAACATCCCTCTTTCTTCTGAGATTTTCTTAAACACTAAATTTGCAAATAAAGATGAACTCCTAGTCAGTCATGCCATTACTTCAATATTCAAACAGGTGATATCACCGGAACATTTTGAATAGCTAGTGATATCACTTATTCAAATAGGAGATATCACCTATTCAAATTATTTATGAAATAACAACTGTTCCCAAGGCTTTAGGTCTTTAAATCTCATTTACGTTCACTTTCCTTTTATAACTCATCGTTCTTGGAGACAATGAATTACAGCGTCGCATTTAGTTTTAAGCACTCCAGTAGAAGTTCTAGTTTGATTTTGCTCACAAATTAATCTATTACACTTATCTATCATGTATACAATAAGAAAAATGAAAAATCGTGAAAAACGCATGATAAATATTCTATAGAGAAAATGCCCCCTTAAAATTATAAAGAGTCAGTGTTATACCATTCTGTTGCACCCCAGCTGGGTAAAATTTACAAAATCTATACAACTTTAAAGGGATCCATAAGGTATTTAAGAAGTCTTCAACTAAAATACAATTGATAACTGAGCAGCCCGAATTTTCTTAGTTCCAGTGAAAATCTAGGTAGTCTAGGGAGCATTCATTATTTATTGTTGTAAGAGATACAAACAGGTGATATCACTTATTCAAATCAAAAAGATGATATCACTTATTCGAATAGATGATATCACTTATTCGAATAAGTGATATCACCTATTCAGCACGAATAGGTGATCTGACCTATTTAAATAGTTAATATAACCTATTCATTTCCAAAAGGTGATATCACCTATTCGATTGGAATGAGTGATATCACTTATTCAAATAGGTGGTATCTCCTATTCGAACAGGTGATTTCACTTTTTGGCAGTAAAAACCAAAACGGCGCCTCATAGAAACACGCACATGTACATGTTCATTGCTAAAAGGGATTTATTAGGAGTTACAACCACGTTACTCTCTCCAATCAAAACTCGCCACCTTAAATACGAAAATTCATATCTCTCATAGTGGTGTAGATCACTTAATTTTTGCGACAACTTATTTTCGCGAGATAAGTCATTGACTCTTGATTAGCGAGACAAAATTTTCACGAATTGTGGTTATTGCTTATATAAATGCTATTATACGCGAGAATTAAATTTTCGCGAGAACATTGTCTCGCTGTGTTTGCTACAATAATTTATTTGAACAAAAAATATTGGAGGAAAAACGTTACAAAATTGGTTTGAGTTCGACATATTTACAATGCAAAAAGGTCAAATTAAATGCTCTGTAGCGACAAAAGAAGCGCATTTACCCCCACTTTTTGTTTTGATTTTTAATAAAGCTGTGTGTATGAATTTTAAAAATATAATTGATAAATTTGATGCAGGATTCAACCTCCTTAAATGCCAACTATGGAAACTTACTGTATAAAATGTAATAAACAAATCCATGAATGCGCATATCTTTGCTCTAATAGCCTTAAAACATTTAAATTTCTATACATGTATATTAATTGTTTTCCTTTAATGGGGATAAAATAGTTTGTATTATTATTATAAGGTATAGTATAACTTTGATTTCGTTATTTAAGTTTAAACTCTTTTAGAAATGAACACATCATATCATAAGGCTGCTTGGTATTACCCGTAAGCATTCGCCTAACGAGAATATTCCTACCAAAACGAATGTTTTGCATCAAAAAATGACAAGGGGTCATTATTCTATGGTGTCATTTTTCGACAATGCACACGGAGAAAAACGACCCCAAGGCCATAATTTCTACGAAAAAGTGGGTCATTTTTCTACGTAGAATATTGATCAGTGGGTCAAATTTCTACGTAGAAAAATGACCCCCGGTCAATATTCTACGGGGGTCACTTTTCGTCGTTACACCGGCTTTCGAACTGCAGAAGGATAAAACGTACGCTGAACTAGGACCTGGGGTCCCCCGCAAATAGTTCGTCATTTTGCGTAGTAATAAAACATTCTAGGAACTCTCCAGGCATTAAAGGCACAAAAGTAAATTCATCTATATCAATACGGAGACCTCAGGTCACCTTATATATTAATTGAATTTTATATGATAGACAATTTTCTTTGTCTTACTCCAAAATAATCATATTCATAACTTTACGAAGATCAACTTTCTAATATATATATATTAGCAGAAACATGAAAGTAATAAAGGGTGACCATGGGTAACCTCATATTGTACATCAATAGGGGGACCAAAGATCACTTAACATTGTACATCAGTAGGGGGACCATAGGCCACCTTATATTTAACATCATTAGGGAGACCAATGGTCACCTTGTATTGTATATCATCAGAGGGATCATAGGTCACCTTACATTTTAAAGCAACAGTACGTTTTATCCTTCTGCTTTCGAACTCGCTTAAGTAGAACCACTTTCTGTCCTTTGAATACTAGAATACAGAGCCAATTGCTGGAATTTCTTTCTTCATAATGCGCACAAAGAATGTGGAAAATAACATTTAATCTTTTTGTAAAACAGATCCTGAAAGTTTGTTTTGCTTCATCTTTACATGTATTTACTAGATCGTTGTGAAGCAAGCCTTCGAGTAACGCAGTTGGGATATGTAATCATCATTTGTAGGCGATATTAGGATATTACGTCACAAATAAGAAAAATGACAATATGTTTTAGTTAGACCTTATCGTATAAAACATCTAAATATCAAACAGGTGTGATAAAATCTGGTTTTATTTCAACTTCACTTGGATATATCGCATCGACAGATGAATGGGGGAAACTATTGTTAATTGATATTAAATCGTCAATATACTAGTATCTAAATGTCGAGTTGAAGGCCACATCAAGCACTATAGTATTTTCTTATGTTAATTTTTTAAAAATAATTCTGCTTCAAAGGAATATAAAAACAGACCAGATTATGAAGAAACACAATTAGTTCCTATTTGGAATTACAACAATTTGGTTAGAAGACCTAGTGTCCAAAGACTACATACAATATGTTAATGGTGTCATTAAGGAACTCCATCGTCCTTTTAATATCAGCTTCAGTGTATTTGAATTATTTAGATATTTTAAAAGAGAGAGTCATTGACGGCAAAATTACTATGAAATACGAACAGTAATTAAGATCCAAGATCAATTGAAAAATACATATTGGGAGCAAAGAAACACAGGTATACTCAGAAAGAGACGGAATGGAATGGAGGACTAAACAACCCCAACTAAACAACTAAACTTTATGATAGATTTGATCAATTTAACACTTCTTTCTGTACTAAACTTTCTTTGTTTATGTAGGAATTTCATGTGCATGAACTATGGGGAGATAACGAACAGTATTCGAGCTCAAAAGTTCATTTAACTTTACAAAATAGGAGGGCAACCATGGACCTCCAAAGCATCAGAGGAGGGATCAGATGCCATGGATGAATGAGCATTCTCTGCCGACCGCTCACACCTGCCGGTTATATTTCCATTATCTACATAAAAGCATGAGCTGTGTGTAATGAAAACAAAAGCTGGCTTTTGAATAAGTTGATGGAACAGGATTTCAACATGTACTCGTTTTAACGCCAATATCATTCGAATTCTATGGTCGTTACAATTACCATGATTGTATATACAACCCAACTTAATACCAAATGTTTATTTTAACTTGAATACAATTTTATTTGGCAGGTATTTAATAGTGTTAACATGATCAAGAAAAAGACATCATGGCGAATGTAACCGGTAGGCAGGGGTGTCTATCTTTCCGTCACACTGGCGCAGTGGTTAGAGCGTCTGTGTTCTAGAGTCGCAAAGTAAGGAGTTAATCAGTCCTTCGGATTAGACCGTATAAACCGAGGTCCCGTGTCGCAGTGAGTGCTGACACGAAAAAGATCCCTCACTGCTCAATGGCCACAAGTGCCGAGTATTTGACAAAATTTGCAGCTTTCCACCGGCAAATGGTGGCTTTTCCATATGAGCAAAAAGTTCTCGATAAGGACGTTAAACAACATACAATCAATAAATTATCCGCCACACCAGTACTGATCCTAGTGATCCTATATGTTCTGCTACACACAAGTTTTCCTTTCATTAAATTTTTAAGCTTGAGTACGATTTGATATCTTCACATTCCATGATTAACCATTCATATCCTTTCAGGTTTCAGTGTTGACAAGTGACCACTTCTGGATCAAACTTCAGAAATAAGGTATGAATACTTTATAGAAACTCTGTTTAATCAACTCATTTTATCGCCATCCTCAACTTTATGTCTCTTCCTCATAAATAAATTACACACTATTTGTAAAATAATTGAAACCATGCATGGCCCAAAGGAGTATTTATGAAGCCCATGAAACGAGAAGCAGCTATAGGAAGGCATAAACCTTGATTTTTTGTTTGCATTATTTATTTATGCAACAGTAGGATATGTTATTATTTCCTTATATATGATATGATGCTTTCGCTTACCATTATTAATAGAACATATTACAAATTTTCAACTAAAAGAAACTTTTCAAATATTTATACTATAAAAATAGCTGATATTGTTCTTCTCCTTACAACTGGCATGGAATTTAAACAATTTCTAATATTCATATAATGTAATTTCATATAATAAGATTGTTAAAATAATGACCACGACTTTAAATTACTTGACTTGGCAATGATGAATATAATCGCAGCGACATTAAATTTGTTACAATCAAACTACTACATTATTATAGAATATTCCTCACGGATGCTAATCACTACACATCATGACTGTTGGTTGGTAGTTAATACAAAGTTTACAATCATATACATCAACATGGACCATCAATATGACTAGAATATTTGAGATTGCTTGAAGAAAGTTTGCTAAATCACATTCTTATATCTTGTTTTTGTCCTTTTTGGATAATTTTCTTTCTTTTATCAATTCCTTCCTTGTTTCCAAGTAATTCTCTACTTCTAAGACAGCACTTTCAGCCTAGAAAACAAATCATAGTAAACGATAACTCTAACATTTGGATAATCAAATATGACTCAAAAATGTTGTCACAATGAAATAATTTTAGTGTTTCAGGAAGGATATGTAGATAACGAATAGTATTCAATATCAAAGTCCATAAAACAATACAAAATAGGAGCAGACCAAACACTGACCTCCGAAACGTCAGAGGTGAGATTCAATAATATACAGTAAATAGGAAAGTGCCGAATCACACCTTTAAAAAGGACTTTCACAATATTTTCTTTCTTTTAATTCTGCCAATACTAATTGAGACTTGCAGATTCCATTAGTAAGGCTTCATTCGAAAGACATATGAGTTTTTTCTTATGCAGAACTTATAGTGAATTAGCATTTAAGTCTTAATGCAAACTCAGTTTAAGGTCGAACTCTGAACATTTCGATCAAGAGAAGAACGTTGTTTTTTTTAAATAACACAATAGAATAAGAAGTTATCATAATGGCTTGAAAAGTTCTAAAATACTACAGTTTTTGAACTTTGTTACCTAATCTGGTGGTTCTACTCACCCATATATACAGGCCTAGTATAGCATGACACTTTCCGGGTATCGTATCTCTGTCATAGGCAGAAAGAAGGCATCTAGCTCTCTTTACAGAATTCAAGTTCACGTCTTCACATTGGAATTCCTGCATCTGAATTTGAAGACGGCCAGTTTTGCAAAGTTGTTGTACAAAAGTCCAATTCTAAAGAAAATATGTTTACAAATTTTGTACACAATTCACAATATACAAAGAAGGGCATTACAAAGCGAAGCATCTCCTCGAAAAAGAGCTTATATATAAATCAAGACAGCATCTATTCAGATGCAAATTACTTCACGTTTCGCTCAGGACATGACACACACTAATACAAACACACAATTGCATTGCTATATCCCAAGCAATCCATTGCGAGGGAATGAAAATGAAACAAAAACATGTTCGCTGGAGTCACTTTTGATTCCACCTTTGACTCCAACTTTTGAATTCTGAATGATTCGAGTCATTCACTTTTTTACAGAATGAGGGATATGGGGATAACAAACAGTATTTAATATCAAAGTCCATAAACGATACAAAATAGGAGCTGAGCATGTCAACACGGACCTCCAAAACATCAGAGGTGGGATCAGGTGCCATGGAGGAGTGAGCATCCCCTGCCGATCGGTCACACACAAAAATAGCAGATTATGTTTTTTAATACTTAACATCATATATCATAATATACTGTATTCCAAAGTTTCTTTCTTTACAATTTCTGTCTTCTGCCTATTTTTATTAGAATGCGTTTACTAAATTAGTTAGCATGGTTATCTTTGTATAGTTTTCGTACATTCAACCTCTTTAGCGATCATAAAGCAGAGTTAAGAGAATTTAAGGTTTATTTAGGTAAAATTTATGGTAACAGAAATGCATATTCCAACCATCAAAATAAGCATAATTTAAATTCGTACCATCAAAATCAGACTTTAAGTAACTTTGCAAAAAACTTAGTTAAACTAGCAATAAATATTTTTAGAGATGTAAAGAAATCCAGATAGAATATTGGATGTAAAAAAAAAAAGCAAGTCACAAAGAGTTATATAGCTCTACAAATAATATGACTTTTACAACCTTAGCAACTTGTTTCTACGATCTAACTGTGAACATATTTGGCATTGTGTACCCGTGTAAGCCTCCAATCATGTAATCAGTAAATTGCTGGGTCTTAATGCAAAGGCACAGTGAACGATATATCTAATTGGCACGTGAACAGATAAACAAATCGCTAAGTGTGGACATGTTTAGAAATAGTTGTTAGCTTGTTGTGAGACAATTACTTAGCTTTAACAAAACTGAAAACGAATGGAGACAGAATTTGATTTCAATATGAATTTTGTACTTACCCCAGCTTGTCGGGGAGGGTAACCGAGAAGTAAAGCCACGGCCTCCAGTGTTTCTTGAACGGCTCTTGGAGGGTTTAGTAGAGTCTTTATGATTTCAAAGTCAGTCTTCATCGATTCCAAGTCATCCTTCGTCAAAACTGACATCATGATTGGGTAGTTTTATATAATGTTCTATCCACAGCAGAATTAAAAACTCAAAATGGTGGTGTCATCTGAAGTTTACAACCACACGACGTAGTTATGTATATAAAAATAAAAATATAATGATTTTGTTACAAGTCATAAAATGAAGTCCTATAATCCCTTCTGAATAGAACGGAGGCTTTAAAACAAATGTTAGCAATATTACAAAATCCCACAGTTAAATTTGACAATACTTCAGAGGGATATCTCCTTTAATAAAAGGATTTATGGCATGTCAATAAAAGACAAAAATAACAAAAATCTTAATCCCATATGAATAGGATCTAGCAATACAATTATTCTTTTTCAATCCTGATGGAATGAACTTTCTGGAGCAGATGGATCAATTTTAAAAACCATTAGACGTCCTCATTTTTTTCAATAAAGGTACATAAACGGCTAAAACAAATCTTTACAGATTAGAATTTCCTTGTACAATTTATATAAACACGTAATGATATATTACCTTATAATTCCACGCGTATAGACTCTCTCATATCAACCCCTAGGTGGATTTACAATCGACTGCATTGAACACTCCTTTTTGTCTTGTATGTTATCGATAGGTTATAACGTAAGAACTGTTTTAATTGTTTTATGCTGTCTTTGACCGGACCTTTAAATCATACCCCCTTTTCTTAATCCAGCACATTTAAGAGAATTTAAAATTGATCAGCACTCTACACTGCATTCATTTCTCTAGTGTAAACAAAGTTTACTTATTGTTCCTAACACTCGCGTGATAGAAAACCTCACCAAAGAAATAATGGAAAATTTCTAAATGCACACAGAAATCTTTCGATCCTGTTACATTTATCATGCCTTTTATGCCAAGTTTCTTTCTCAACATTGAATCATTTGAGTGTTATTTTTGGTTTTCTAATTCGTTATGTTTGATTGCACATTTCTTTCTCTAAACTTTCTTTTTACATTTACACTAGTGCAGTCAATGGGTTTCGAAAGTTTATTGCTTTTGGGTGTAAGTTTAAGTATCGATATTAATCCATCATAATGAAAATCAAATATTAAATGATATGTAATGAAGGTTTAGCCGTAAAGAATTTTCAGCTATTCAAATGAAACAGAATATTGTATGCTGGTCCGACTATATGTATCAGGTACACCAGACAGAATATTTGAAATGTTATGTCAATAAATCCTTAGTAATGACATTATTTTGAAAAATTGTCGTTCCCTTCATTATGGCCTAGTTGTACAAAAGAATGAAGGTAAAGGTTTCAGAATGAAATGATAGAAACCAAGCGACGAATTTTCGTTTTGTAAAAAAAAAGTTTTCCGACAGTACTCTTTAGATACGGAAAAAATGCAATAAAAGGTTTACAGGTTCTCTTCTGTTAAAATCAAGAAATATGTATTTCTTAGCAAAATATCCTTTTTAAAGTTTGTTACGGTAGTGGAGTAAAATTTCCTTATGAAGGGATATTCAAAATAATTTTGATTCAGTTAAATCCACCACTAAGTGAAATTGATTTCCTGAATCTGTTTCTTTTTCATATATAATAAATGATGAAAAGAATCCCCTCCCTAATTTGGACATTTTATTATATGTTCATTTCATTGGATTTCCATATACATTCTTTCAGTAGAGACTGTCTTTAAAACTGATAAGCCTTAATTTGATGTTATAGATTATCCCTGTTAAGATCAACATGACATTTTGGTTCTTTATATACCATTGAACTCCAAATAAAAGACTTCAGAGACTCTGGCACACCTGTTTCATATTTGGATGTTCTAGGAATGGCAAGTTGATATTAAACTAACTAACAAATAAACCCTTTGATACACATTATGACATTAACATTTCTTCGCTTATTTTCTTTCCTTATTTATGTAGTTTTATACCATTTTAAACTACACATTTGTAAAATTTATATCTCCAAAATTAATCAAAACACAATAACAAATTCTACAATTTTTTAACGAGTAGTACGTTGATGATGTATCAACAGAAATTTCCTTATGAAAAGACATTGAAATGTTATAATTCACAGAATTCATATTCACACTGGCATACACTACATTCAATGATCAAATTTAAAAATATCAAAATTTTGATCAACATAAAACGTAAATAAATATATAAATACAAACCTTACACACGTATTTACAAAATATACCACAACACATAATTGTCATCGTATACTTTATTTTCAAACTTTTATTAAAGTGTAGATCTACAAAATATACCACAACACATAATTGTCAACGTATACTTTATTTTCAAACTTTTATTAAAGTGTAGATTCTAAACTGTAATTTTAAATAAAAAATAAGAATCTTTTTAATTAATGAACTGTTTAAATCAAAAAATGAAGCTGAAATTAAATTTCATGAAAAGAAAAGAATAAAATAATATAGAATTCATATTCACACTCGCATACACTACATTCAATGATCTCATAATCATACAAATTGCAATGATGATCAAGATAACAAAAAACATTTTTGAAAAAGAGATATTACAATTTGGGAGGATGGATCATCATGGATCACCAACTAAAACGTGAGAGAGCAGCAGGACCTTTAAATTTTTAACGTTCGACCAGCAAACCGCCCTTGTATCACGTTACAGAATGAAACTATTCTTGCATTTCTATTTTATAATTGGGAGTATTTTCAAAATATATTGCCGTTTTTCCTTAACACTTTGAATAATATTTATCCAGGTTTGAGTTATCTCTCTTTTATAGCGACAATATTTTTTTCGTATTTCTGTCACTAAAACATTAAGTAGGATGGTTGGGAAAATATGGCTTGTCTCGAATTTCAAAAAATGTGTTGTCAGACCTGATAAACGCACTGTACACAAAAATTCAATCAAGAGCTACTTCGCCTCTTCCTCTAAAATTACTTCACTGAAAATACGTAATTGAAAAAGATAGTTTATCCAGAACATTGAATCTTTTTAGGTGGATAACAAAGAACTAAGATTCATTTATCATCTTATAACAAAATAATGTGAAACATTCATCATTTTATTGGTTAAGATATACATTGTAGTTCTAGCAACATTAGGAAGTCCAACGAAAATGTTTTATTGCCATATTTTCCGGACACTACCTCCCATATGCTGCTAAGAAGAAGAGTCTTGGAGTTTTCCTGCTGCTTTGCAGTCCTCTAATGCGTTTATTGCCTTGAATGTATAATAAAATTGATAGGTCAATAAATATAAGACGAAGTTCTTTATGTTTCTTTATATTTCAAACCGAAAAACATGTACTAACCAGTATTTTATGTTTGTCAACATACCCAATCCGCTAGTTGTGCTGCTGTAACACTGACTTGTTTGGCCGAATCTACCGTGACAACACTAAGCAGAGCCTTGACTTTCCTAGCTGAGGATGGATCACATTTATCGGCCTGAAACTCCTTTAACTGGTTCAAAAATGAATCTGGAGCTGAGGTAGGTTGCGATAGCTGCTCCCTGATAAATTTCCAGTTCTAAAAATAAGAAAGGTTTTTCTTTTTTAAAAAATAATGCACATTTGATAAACACAGTTTCTATTCTGTTGTTCTGGTGTTTTGGTGATGTTTCTTTTTCATTATTGTTCATTATTGTAATGATGAAAAAATTGTATGTAGATCATTTGCTATATCCCGATATGTATATTTTTTTAAAGAATTTGTAATACAAATTTGAAATCCAGTTAAGACACAAAATTTTAAATTCATTTCCTAAGGTTTTGATTCTTGAAGTAATTTTTTCCTCTTTTTCAAAACTAAATCAAGTCTGAATGATGTATCATTGATTTGTTAAATCTAAGTTTTTTTTATATACATGTATCTAGTTTTCACATCAAATATAGACTGTAGTCATTAAATTTAACAATGTCCTTACCCTGGCATCAGTAAAAGAGTATCCAAGGAGAATAAAGATGGCTTCCAGTGTATGTTTTAGAAGAGGAGGGGGACAACAGAGGGATAATATTGCAGACACATTTTCTTCAGTTATGGATGTCATGTTGTGGCTGTATATATACCTGTCAATAAAAGTTTCTTCTTGAAAACATTTTCTGTTTGTCAATACAATGGGTTTTTTTTTCGTTAAAAAATGTGAACAAAGACGAAGTGGAATGAACGGAATTAAGTCAGTTATTATTATTAAAGGGGTAGGATTAATGCCTAGACGCAGAGAAAGGGTGCATGAACTTAATTAACTGACGTCACAAGAGCAGTAGGGATGATGGAAGCAAGAAAAGCGCAATGATACATTATAGAAAGATTTTTTATTTTCCAAAGTGTCATCAGTCATAACATTGGTATTTAGAGACAAGAAATATCAGTAGTTCAAATCAGAACGTCGGAACAGTACTATAGCCCATGAGGACCTTTCTATGACCAATGGTGCCAAAGGACAACGCTTTAAGGTGCAGTTTTAAGCCAAACACTGACTTCCAGAAAGTAGGAAGCAATTATGTCTATCTCTTTCTACTAATACGGTTAGAAACAGACTTGTAGGATAGCTGTAGGCCCCAATTAAAATTAGAGGAGAACAGAAATGGCCAACAGACCACAGAAATTGGCAACAACGTCATTTCTTCTTTTCAATCTTGATTCATGCCCACTTTTATGATGACAGATGACTTTTATAGTGGACAAAGGGTAAGAGATATGTTGATTGTTGCATTTCTAGGCATGGCCGTTTTGGTAGTCGATCGTTGATAATTCGGGCAAGGAACTTATTCGGAGAAACTATTCAGCGCATAGACTTCTGACAACAACCTAATTGAACATGCCTAGAATATTCTTCAGAAAAGCATTTCAGATCGCCAAATACTTCCACAAAATTTACTTTACTCTTGAGATATGGCGACAGATAACACAGCTGAGCATTGCACGGCTAATATAGGCATCATGGGGGAATACATGTATCTCTTAGCGTGGAAGACATGCAAAATAATGACTAACATCGTAGAAAGAAAGAAAAAGCATCTGGATAAATTTCTTTATGATTGCAGATACGCTAGAAACTGTAAATTGTAAAGCTCTGCACCCATATACAGTGATGTGTTTATCAGCTTGTGACAGAGATCAATCATTGTTATTCTAAGAAACATATGTTGATGTTGTCTAAACGACTAAACTAATAATAACACATCAAGTAGAAAACAATAGGAAGACAAAAAATAAGTGTTCGATTTAAATTTTGCTCTTTCGAATATTTGGAATTTTATACACCAATAGGATTCCGTAGAAATGCCATCGGAGACGTATCAACAAAGTTGATCATAAAAGGACTTACCTCTGATGACTGATAGACTGAGTGTTGAAAGTATTCATTTCATAACAAGTGTTTTTCCACTCTCTTTGAAAATTATATAACCGATTACATTTTAAATCATGAAAGATCGCAAAAACAGAAAAAGAAAGGCATCACTTTAGATAATCCCTATTTAGTCTTTATATATAACTTTAAATTCAATATTTACGGTGCCCCATTTGCATTAAATTCCTTTTTTGTTTAGAGACTAATATGTTTTTGTTTACTGTGCCTTAAGCCACTGCCATTCTGTTAATTTTGGTATAATTTATATCTTTAGATAAAAATATGTATGATTATAATAATAATACATATCAAATACTACTTATCCTTTTATCTATTTTTTTGCACGAGAATGGCATATTTTTTTCAGATTGTCAGGTTGAAATTTTCTGTTGATTAGCCACAGACTATGTAACAACTACATGTTCTTCAAATTCATTACGACAGATTCAGGTCAGGTGATATATTCTACCAATCTATTGGTTGTTTAAATATAGACTTTAATAAACAAGAAGCTGAAATGATTTTAAATAACAATAAACCTCCAAATGATTTAATGCAAACTTTTTATTTATTTCTTTTTTAAAATAACAATAAACCGTCAATTACAATTATTGCCTTGTTATGCCTGGTTACATTAAATTTTGATTGTTCTTGAAATGTTTACAAATACTATTATAACCATTTATACTTTGCTTTTATTATACAAATGAAATAAGATAACAACAAAAAATCACACACATATACATACATTATGTAATATGAATATTAAAGACAAAGTCTGAACTTTAATATCAAGAAAATGAAACGACTTTCACCAAAGTACAAGGAAATAATCTAAAGCAAACTTTTCTTTTTATTTCAAGTTGTTTCAACATTTACCATAAACTGCCATTACAGTCATTATTTGTTATATTAAATGATAAATTTTGATTTTTTCCTGAGATGTACACAAATATATGATAATTTTTAAAAAATACAATTACATGTATATCATAATATACCAAAACTTACGTATTGTACAGATATTTACAAGAATGCATATCTATAAGACGTATGTGTCTTTGAGAAACACATTAATTTTTGTGTAATGAATTTCAAGAAAATAAAAAATGGAAGATGAAAAACATTGATTTAAAGACGCATATTGAAATTATAACCTGACTAGTAATGTTTTACAATTGGTTGTATATCAAACATTTTCATGAATTTGACATTCAATATATAACAGCAATAATCTTTTTGTAAATCATTGGACATTTTAAGATTGCTGAAATTTCAGGAACTGTTCTGAAGTTTTCCGACGGTCTCACATTCTTCCAGCGCTTTCAAAGCCTTTAAGATACAATTAAAAGACATTAATGACTTTATTTTGACAAGATTTTTGTACACATACATTTAAGTTTTTAAATGCATCGTTTATATTATTAAATGCTGTTTAAAAAAAAATATTATTATTAATATATTCAGGAACATACCCAAAGCACCAATTTGGATGCCGCCAAACTAACTGCTTTAGCCCTGTCTACTGTAACATCTATGAGCAAAGCTTTGGCTTTCTTTGCTGATGCTGAATCACATTTTTCCGCTTGAAAACCATTCAACTGACTTAAAAAGGTGTCTGCGGGCTTTCCCAAGTCCCTTTTTATGAATTGGTAGTTCTGAAATGGAAAAAAAATTGACTGTAATATTTTTTCTCCACTAGATACTGCTACACATATCTTATTAATTTTTGAATATTTTAACTTATTTATAATCACAGTTTCGTACCTGAAACCAATGCTTCATTGATAAGATTTACTACATTTCTACCTTACACAATGTATATTTTATATGTTAGTCCCATGGACAAAACAAGAACTTTTTGTCTTTAAGATGGTTTCTCCCATCCCTAATGTCACCTAAAAACCAAATTAGCTGCTGAATTTATCTCCATGATACTTTAACTTTTTGGTCAAATTCATGCATTTTAACTTATTTGGGGTCCTGTCTTGTTAGTTGACAAAAAATATTCTCTCTATAAATATAATAACAAATATCTATCAGAACACAACGTAAAATAAAATGCGCAAAACAGCAATATGTAATAGAGATTCTCTCTCATATACAAGGAGCTAGAGATTATGATGGGTGCCCAATGGCCAAATACTAAAAGGGACAAAATTGTCCAGATTTTGCTTCGGAAATCCCAGTACATTTGTCTCATCGGCATGGAAAATAAGAGGAGAACGATGGCCTCTTGCAATCAAGATTCCGAGTAAGTCTCATTAAATTTCATTCAGTTGTAAAGAATGTGTCAAATTGTGAATTGTCGGGACATCCTATCATTTCAATCTGGTATATGTATGTAATAAACTACATCACCGAATGATAAGGTTCAATTATTGGAGAATTTAAATGTACTCACCCCAGCTTCTGCAGCTGAGTATCCAAGAAGAAGATAAACAGCCTCAAGTGTATTTATTACAAGTCGTGGAGGGGAAGCGAGTGCTTTTATCTCACTTAGATCCGCTTTTGCCAATGTTGTCATGTTACAACTGAACAAAAAAGAAAAATAAATCTTTTAAAAAATAATTAAAGATCAAGTTTAAAAGTCGAAGCATAATTTTCTGCTTCAGCATACAATACGAAGCCCGCCAATTTAATATATTTTACTTATTGATGTAAATTTGTCTTACCTCTGTTAGATCTAGTATGCAAATGCTTTTATTACTTAAGTATTTGCCTGTTGTGTAGAAAAATGATCTTATATTGGACAGTCCATTTTACTCAAAAATTTAAAATACCTTGTGAGTAAGAATGAATCGTTCGGATTGTCCACTTTAATCATCAATCATATTCTATACATTTAAAAGTGAGGTCAAAATTGGTGCCTGATTCGTGTTAAATGTAGTCCACTGCTATCAAAACTTGTGTATATTTAAGAGACCTCGATAAAATAAATTTTAAACAACCTTCTTAAATTCTAGAATAATAATATTATAGATAATAAAGAGCAACGCCGGAGGGAAACGCAGAACAAATAATGACTTTGAGTTCCCGTTAGCTATATGTTTCTTATGAATATATATTATATTTCTTTATAAGCATGCTATCATATTAAATTTAAAATATATGTGGGGTTTTTTTTCTTAGTGAGGGCTTTTGTCTAGAATAATAATAAATTTTTAATACTTTGCATGTATGGACCTTATATTTTTTTTTCAATTCTATATGTTACAATTTCTATATTTTAGTACTAGTATTAGTTTGGTAAATCATCTGCCTTTCACCCTCTTATTCCAGATACACTCTTAAACCAGTTTGTATATTTTATCCTTCTCTCAACCTTTTATAGTCGCCTCTACAGGCAATAAACTGGCTTGTTTGAGGGATTGCAGAAAACTATTATTCAAACTAGTTATTGCAGCCCGGAGGACCGGGCTGCTCTATACATATAAGTTTAAGTGTTGGTATATGGGGATGGGGTGGGAGTAGTTATTCAAAATTAAAGGTTTTCTAAACATTAAAAAGATTGTTAATCAGAATGTTCTTTCCCTTTATAAATTACGAGATACATAATATATTTACTTCCATAAAGTGGATCTGTAAAAATATATAAGTTTTTCATATCTAATATATAAAGTTGTTTATCATTTATTATCGAAAAAACGACAGGTCCCTTTTTTTAGAACATCGAATTTTACTTCTCGCATAAAAACGTACTGTGCACAGTTCGTGTTTTATATTCTAAAATTGAAAATTAAATACATTTTTGAATATAGGTGATGCATGTGTATAACTAAAATTTGTAATTTATGCAGCCAACATTTACTCGAGGAATTGAAGTTTAAAGCCGCTTGGTCCGATTCTAATCGCTAAAAAATATATTCCTTTTTTCTTCTTGAAAAATAATTGTCCATAAATTGTTTTACTTTTTGTCAAATTATATCCCCAAAGTCTTTTTCTTTCAAAAGATATCAAAATTCAAAAGTTAAAAAAATAATTTTTGTTAGGTCACACAAAAAATAATCCTATGTTGATATCGCATGAAATCACCTTCGAAAAATTAAATTTAGCGCTTACATGTATATCTCATGAAGAACGAACCCGCGCATTTTTTTCACAACAAAGTACTTATACCTGTACACGGACAATATTTTAGCCTTCGTTACTAAATTTCCTTTAAAATAAATATCTGATTTTCCTTTATTCTTTAAATATGCATATTAATATAAGAATTATTAAGGATTATATTCAATGACTTAGGCTTCTACTAAATGGAAAAAATACTCGGGTTTGAATTATCTTCATAATTAGATAAAACCGATAAATTTATTTTTTGCAAAGGTGACTTCACAACAGATCTTAACTTCCTGTTAGGAACTTCTGTTTGTCAATAAGGTTTTTGATCTATGTTTTCCAAGCAAGGATTGTTGTAATAAACTATTAAATCAATCTATAATTTATTTTTATTTATTATCTATGTAATGGAGAACTTTTATTGTGTAAGATAATATGTGCCTGTTTCGGATTAAGCGGCTTTAAAATGGTATCGTTTTTGTTTAACATTTATCCGACTATAAGTTTTCCAAATATTCGCGACTATCGTCTCCATCAATTAGACGCATGCCTTTTCACTCATATCGAAGCGGTTTGATGATCAAGAGTCATTTCCATAGTTTACTTTATATATTTTCCGGGCGACAGTTGATGGTTACATCAATGTTTTCTTGTTGCTTATAGAGACGAGTATAAAGGTGTATAAAAGATACAGACTTAAAAAGATACAGGTTATTTTTAAAAATGTGTCTAGAATTATGGAGGGAAAGGGAGATGATTTATCAATGTTGGGAAGTGGAGAAATTCTCCCAAATAGTGCACAAAGTCTTCGGCCCTAATTTGCAACATTTTTTTTGCATTACGGGATCTGTAGCGTTATGGTCAAAGACTAATGAAAAAACCATACCGCTACAGTTCTATAGCTATGCGTAATGTTGGTAAAATTTTACAATTTAAGTACCAGACTTATAAAACTAATCGATGATTTCAAAAAAATACTTGCACTAATTTCTCCTTTTCTCGGCTTTGATCCTATTTTGTGGTTTCATATTCATTTTATATAAATCGATTGTGGCATTTTTAAAAGAGTTTCTACTCAAATGGCAAATAACAAATTACAAAGAAAAGTACTGAGCACATTTTTTATTAATCATGCATGTGTGAATCTGTTATGGAATTTTTAATACCATTATTCATATGTAATATTTGAATATCAAGATAAATCTCTCTCACATGCAGAGGTTTCTAAAATATAATTGACTTCTGAACTTCTAGCAATTCTAATTATCATTTTACTTCAAATTCAGGTTCAAACACTTTGCTTCAAAGGTTAAACACATCTTGAAACAATATTCATTATTTAAAATCAATACATTTATCAATTAAACAATATTAACGATCGATGAGTACTTCTTAGTAATAGAGTATATTGTATGTTTACTGATGACGCATCAAGTAGTGTTCTGAAGTTTTCCGGCGGCCTCGCACTCCTCCAAAGCTTTTAGCGCCTTAAAGAATTAATTATAAAATGAAATAAAGAGAAACACAAATAGTAAATGATAATAAATTATGTAAGGAATAATAACTGAATGCATATTTTAATGCTTAATTGATACACCTCTGAATTTATATGTTAAGATACATACCCAATTTACAAAGTGGGATGCAGCAAAATTGGCTTCTTTGACCTTCTCGACTGTTACATCTGTGAGTAAAATCTTGGCTCTTGTTACTGATGCTGGATCACATTTTCCAGCTTGAAATTCATTCAACTCACTCAAAATGATTTCCGGGGTTTTTGCTAAAAGCTTCTTCGTTAAATCGAAGTTCTGAAATAAAAATGTTGAAGTATCAATAACTTCAGCAGATACTTAATTTTATTTATTTCAACAGTTATTTATATCAATATTAGTTCAACATACATTACTAATCATGGTTCAGCAAAACCTTTAACCAATCTTTTGTTGATATTTCTTACCCTAATTTCTAGACTGTATTCTTATTTTAGCTAAATTAAGACAAGTCTGGCATTTATCACTAATCCATTTACTTGAAACATATGGAGATAACGGAGAGTATTCAAGATCAAAGTCCATAAAACAATACAAAATAAGAGCAGATCAAACATGGATCTCCAAAACATCTGAAGTGGGATCAGATGCCATGGAGGAATGAGCATCCTCTGCTGACCGGTCATATAATTGGATTTTTTCACTTTGTCACAAACGGTTTTATCCCACCCCTGATTTTATGTTTGTAAATTTAAAGAAGTCGAATAATTAATTGAAGTATATAAAAAAAAAACACGCAATAAGACCCGTACCTAAGCCGATAGAGTCATTCATATCGAAAAATAAATTGTACTCACCCCAGATTCAGCAAAAGAGTATCCAAGTAGCAGAAAGACAGCTTCAAGACTATTTATCACAAGTTGTGGAGGTTTGGCGAGGGACTTTACTTCAGCAATATGGGCTTTGGTAATTGTTGTCATGATTTTGCTGAATAAAGACGAAAATTGATTTTAAGACTGGGGCTTTTATTTGTTTTTGTTTTGTTATTTTTAAGTAAGTGAACAAATTAGTGGTCACATTAATTTTTCCTTCGTAATACTAGTCCTATATAAAGCCTAGAAAAAATTCTGGACGAAAAAAATCTTTTTTAAAATGCAGAAAAATTGACGTACCTATGATAGACCTGGATTGTTTTTGATGGATGTGAGTGCCTATTATTTTAGTAAATCCATTATATACAATTAGGTTAAAAACAAAACAAACCGAAAACAAATATACGAGACAGACCACTGAGATCAATAGCGGTGAGATTAATTTTAAAAATTAAACTGGGCATTCCAGATTACTTTGTAAATTTAAACACCTTACGAGTAAGCAGTGAATTGGTTGGAATGGATTGTTCATTTAAATCATTAACACTTTGACATTTGGTAAATACATATATACCGTGACACATTTGTTTTTAATATGTTTCATGATCATAGAATCAGAGCTTTTAATGCATATATTGAACAGATCCCAATGCAAATAAAAGTTTTACAAATTTTATTCATAAAAAATGAATTTTTGAAAAAAAAAAGTGTAACTTATTAAGCTGCCCTGTCAATCCTGCATACAAAAATCAATATTAAAAGGCTGCATAACTTCTATCTATCACAAAAGTTACCATGATCACCTTTGCATGCTTTTATTACGGTTAATTAATTTACATAATTTTATATATTTAAATCTATTGAGGGCGTTTGTTTTAGTATTTTTCACCTTTTACTCATAAAACTGCAATATTATAAATTATAGTCATCTTTATTTTTTATGTTCAGTAAGGATCACCATTTTATTTGGTATTTCTTTAAATAGATTAAGGATTCTGATATTTATTAATAAAGATTTTTGCAATAGCTATGTAGCGTTAGGTTGGGTTATAAATTATCATCTGCATACAATGTGTTCTCGTTTTTGTTAAGATCGGAACATTCAAGCTTTGAACTTTTCAGCGTTAAAAGTTATAGATGAAAAAATGAAAAGCGATCGGTTTCAAACAACATACAATACAAATCTCTGAAGAGGATGTAAACTCGATCGAACCCTAAAATTAGTTTTATTGAAGTTTGGATTTGGAATATCACTAAATTCAAGGTCAAAAGGCAATAAATGAAAAAAAAATCAGACCGGTCAGGAGAGGATGCTCATTCCTCCATGGCATCTGATCCCACCTCAGATGTTTTGGAGATCCATGTTTGATCTGCTCTTATTTTAGTTCACATGTAACTCTTTTCATCTCAAAATCAACGCATTTCCAACAGGGCAATGATCAAGTTATCTAAAGTATAATCCTTTCCATCAATTACAGAAGAAAAAATACACAATTGTTTTTCAAAACCATCTGTTAGTTTTGAATATTTTCAATATTCCAAACAACTAAAATGAATTTGAATCACCATATCTATATTGAATTCCAAGACTTCATAACAATCCTTTCACACAAAGATACATCGAGTGTTCCTGTAAATGTTCTACCAAGCCTCTTCATGCAAGAAACGGTGAAAAGTTTATCTTGACTTCTATAAGATAACTTTATTTCTCGGCAAAGTTTGTTGAGAGAACTGTCAAATTTGTTCTAAATATATAAATTGAGACCTTTATTAAATATTAGTAGCGTATCATAACGGAAAACATTCTGCGAATAAAAGTATGTGAGTCTAAAGTTCCTAGATATTAAATATGCAGTTTTGGAGAATTTCCTGCTAAATATCCTTCCACCAAAAGAAATAGTTCCTCATAAATCTTGCTTCTTTTGTGGATTTTTGAGCAGTTTTTTCATTGAAAGTTGAATAACTTACGTTGTTAAATTATAATATGTTATAAAAATTGAATTATAATGAATAGTTTTGGAGTGAGAGGTTCTGCGTGAACTTTTCTAAAAAGCTGACGAGTGACATAACTTAATATAAAAGTTACGACTTGTCAACTTTATATACAAATATTCCTAATGATAAATTAAAGTTCAGGCTTTAGGACATCATTAACAGCTACTTTTTTTCAATGATACTGGAACTCACAAATTTACTTTTCTCATCATTGGTATTTGCAAATCTATTTTGTTAAAAACATTATGATTGTACACATAAATACTTTGACTGTGACTTATACGCTAAACATAGCCTTTTTGTCGGCAAACTTTTACCTTCGCCATAACTTTTGAACGAAGAAAAATAGAGAATTAATATTTGGCATGTATACTCCACTGATTAAGCCCTTTCACCTGACAGCAAGGTCAATGACCCTGTGACCTTGACTGTGTCTTATTTGCTAAAATTAGCTTTTTTGAACCTTCACCATAATTTTTAACCATGAGAGATAGAGACTTCATATTTGATATGCATACTATACTAATCAAGTTTTTTTCAAATGACACCAAGATCAATGACTTTGTGACCTTGACTGTGACTTATATGCTAAAAATATGCTTTTTCGAACTTTGTTGCCGCCGGGCGCATAGTGTTTCACAAACACATCTTGTTTCATTCTTACATCGATACGATATATATTACGGTGAGCTTGAGATAAAAATAAATACAACCAAGTCTGAAATATCTGTTTCATGTTTGGATATTTTACTTGAAAAAGACATTATCGGTAATCTAACCTCAAAGCTTTATAATAAACGTGATGACCTTAACCTTTTAATCGTGCAGCAATATACCTTCTTGTTGAGGCAATAAGACTGTTTTTCTTGCATTTATTATTTACTTTGTTTGTGGTTAAATTGTTTTAATTAGATTTATAATGGTTTTATATATCTTTCTGTTCTGATTTTCTTATATGAAGAAAAATCCCAAACACTAGCACCATCCATTTATTCTGATAATTTATTTTTTTAACATAACTTATATATTGCATTATTCCATGATTCGTTCAAAAATCTTTTAAAACTTGGATAGAACAAGCATATAATATTTCCATTCCTCTATAAACGAGAGTTATAGAAAATGTTATAAAAATTGCCCGTGCCAATAATGATATTTGATGATCTTTGTCAATGTCGGTCTCTGTATTTGATTATTTTTCTAGTGTTCCAGTCTCAAGAAGGGCCTTTTCCTGCTAACTCACAGTCTGTTATCGATTTTATTGCCTAAAAAGGACAAAAATAATATATAAATATTTGCATAAGTCTATTGTTCCCACTGTAAAAAAAAATAATGTGATTATTCCCTAATTTAAGTTTAGCTCATGATAAATATTCCTTTAAATTGAGAACAAGATATGTGCCTTTTTTGATTTATGATAAAATACGTCTTCATTACCCGAAATTGATCGAGTGATTGTTTGCTGTTAAATATCTCGCAGGATTATTTTCTCCACGCTTGATTTAAGTGTATTTAATTTTAACATACCCAGGCAACTAGATGATAGGTCGCCAAACTGACGTTTTTTGCCTGTTCCATTGTAACATCTCCAAGCAAAGCCTTCGCTTTGCTTATTGATGCCGGGTTGCATTTGTCAGGGTGAAAGTTTTTCAACTGAGTTAAAAAGGAATCTGGGGCAGCTGTTGGTTTTTGCAAAACTTTTCGAACTATATTAATATTAATATACTAATATATTAATATAATAATGTATATTATATCAATATAATATATTAATATACTAATTTCCAGCTCTGAAAGAAATGTACTAAAAAGAGTATGTTTCAACACCAGTGAACATGTATTAAAATGTGATATTTTAAAAATGCCTCATCTGTTTTGAAAGAGAATTTTAGTCACAAAGGAACGTTTTATATTCCCTTTTTACTTAAGGACCAACGCAAATCGTATTTAATCAATGTACCAATGAAAGATATTTTTTACTTACATCAGCATCTGTAGAAGAGGACCCAAGTAATAAAATGATTGCTTCACAAGTGTCTTTCACAAGCCTGGAGGAGCATGGAGTGTCCTAATTTCGTCAACATGATGTTTGGTAACTGTTGTCATTTTTTAGCTCTACTGGTCAGAGACCAGAAGAGCTTATGCGATAGTAATGCGTCCGGCGTCCGTCCGTCTGTCTGTCTGTCTGTAAACAATTTTTCAAAATGCTACTCCTCATACAGTTTTGGTCTGATTTCAGTATAACTTGGCACACAAGTAGACTACACTAAGATACATAATTCTGTGTATCGATTTTTGATTTTGATGAACGGTGTTGCCGTGGTTACTAAAAATAGAAATTTCTGTGAAATACTTTCAAAATGCTACTCCTCCTACAGTTTTGGTCTGATTTCAATATAACTTGGCACACAAGTAGACTACACTAAGATACATAATTCTGTATATCGATTTTTGATTTCGATGAACGGTGTTGCCGTGGTTACTAAAAATAGAAATTTCTGTGAAATACTTTCAAAATGCTACTCCTCCTACAGTTTTGGTCTGATTTCAATATAACTTGGCACGCAAGTAGACTACACTAAGATACATAATTTTGTATATCGATTTTTGATTTCGATGAACGGTGTTGCCGTGGTTACTAAAAATAGAAATTTCTGTGAAATACGTTCAAAATGCTACACCTCCTACAGTTTTGGTCTGATTTCAATATAACTTGGCACACAAGTAGACTACACTAAGATACATAATTCTGTGTATCGATTTTTGATTTTTGAATTTGAAGAGGAGGAACAAAATGACAAAAAATTAGCAATATCACATAGGCTGATTTTTACAGTTTAGCTTTTCCTAATAAAATTCACCTGGCTTGGTATATTTTTCTTCAGTTTATATTACACTTTTAGCACCAAGATAACATATTATGAAATTTGTTTTCACCTGTAAACCTTTACTGAATGTGATTTGTCTATATTTGTTTTTTCATTGAAATATTAGTAATATTTTCCAAGTGTTTTTCATATTCCATTTCTTAGGAGAACAAAATCTAAGAACCATCCACTTTTCTAAACTTGTGACATGATATTTAATCTTTTTCAAAGAAAAAATTTGTTTGTATCATCTGTCCTTAACTGACTTGCTACATATTAATTGTTAGACCTTTATTATTGTACTAGATTTGACTAAGGAATGTTCCATCTACTTGATAAATATATATGACTCATGGTGGGCATAACATTTCAACATAATCAAGCCTATCTCTCCTAGGCACCTGTTTACACCTCTTTAATTTCTAGGGGTTTGTGTTTGTGTCCTGTTTACAGATTTTAAATAAACTGATTTTTGAAAGATAGATCACTGTTCCTTTACCCCATTTTACACACTTACATTCACCTGTATATGTATATATACAAGCAAAAATCTAAAAAATATCACAAAAATACATTTACTGCTAGCGCTTTCGCCATGTTCGGCTCTTCAGGTAGTTATATGAACTCAACTGCCTGAATAGCCAAACATGGCGAAAGCGCTTGCAGTATATGTGTTTTTGTGATAGTTTTGGATTTTTACTTTTAAATATACCTAAAAAATTGTACCGATTTTGAAATTGTATGTATACATATGCAGATTAGGAACAAAGTAAAAAAGAAATATTCTATTTTTCAATCAATTTTATATTCATTTTTACAATGATTTATTTCTGATAACAGAAAGAATTTCAATTATCTGAGGACTTCAGAGTTGCCAATCAGAACAGTAAATTATAATTATAAAAATTCGGCAAAAATCGTGCAGCATATCTCAAAAAGAATAGTCTTAAAAGATCACAATGAAATGAATTCAGGCAGATTTTTTTTTCAAATTAAGGAGTTTCAATGAAAAAAGAGTAATCCTTATCCTTTCTCATGGACACTGCTCTCAATAAAAAAAAATTCTGAATTGTTTAATTATCGTCATTTATAGTAATTTTGTATTTGACTAATATCCAGCTGTCTAAGGATTTTTTTTAGAAATAATAATGGATAAAGATTATTCCATATAAATTTTTGGCGATAACTTGTATTCATTCTTGTGTCATCGTGCAAATATCGTAGAAATTTAAAATTTACTCAGAAGTGTGCCCTGACATGTTATATACACGTCAGGTAAACGACCCCTACCCCCCCCCCCCCCAAAAAATATAAATGAATAAATAAAAAAAAAAATTGATGTAATTTTCAATTTTATTTTACAATTTGTAGAATGCAAGTAAAAAATAAAACAAATGCATAATGTACACTTTTTTTTCATTTTTATATTTACATAATAAAATACATTATAAAACTAGTGCTAATTGTAACGGGAACCGTTACAGATGTTCCCCAAACGCTCCCCAACTCCTTTTTGGTGCCATATTCCCTGTAAGCTTCAGTAAATAAGACAAAGTCTGTGCATTTTTGACTTTAACAACGTTTTCTCAGAAGGATAAAATTATATTAAAATTTTAGCATTGCACCCGTGCGCATGTGAATGCATGTTTATGATCATATCATCTTGTCTACACTATCTACATATTTTACTATACAATATATTAAAGCATTCAGTCCAAAAGTAAGAAAAATCAATCTTTCAAGGGTATTTTTCATTTCACTCATTCCAAATGCACGCACGTGCATGCACGTGCATGATGACCATACCTTCTTGTAGAAGTCTTTTATATCTATCTTTATTCTAAATCCAATCCAGTTTGGTTGAAAAACAAGGGAGTTATAGCCATTTCAAGTTTAAGCCAATCAGATTGCAGCACACGTGCCTGCGCGTGATTTCATGATTTTTTTTCTATATCATATTGTAGGATATCCTAATGCATGGCTATGTTTTAAATTTCAAAGCATTTCGTCAAAAAACAAAGGAGATATAGCCATTTGAAGTTTCAGCCAATCAGATTGCAGCACGCGGGCATGCGCATGCTTTCATGAAAATTCTTATATATCATGCTGTAGATCTTTATAATGTTGGTCTATGTTCAAAATTTCAAAGGATTATGACAAGAAACAAGAAAGATATTGAGACTTTAGTTTCAGCCAATCAGAGCGAAGCGCACGTGCATGCGCGTGAGATCTTACTTTTTTGACCATGTCATTTTGTCTATGCTTCTAATATATACTTATAAAATGAGTTTCAAAGCATTTCATCAATAATTTTAATAGTTACGTCTGTATCAATTATATTGGACATTTATCGTGTTGCACGTGCGATCTTGCAAGCACATGTGCATGCACATGCTTCCATGATAAATCTTATATTACAGGCTGTAAATTCCCTAATGTATGACTATGTGCAAAATTTCAAATGATTTTATCAAAAAACAAAAAAGATATTGAGACTTTAGTTTCAGCCAATCAGAGCGAAGCGCACGTGCATGCGCGTGCGATCTTGCTATTTTGACCATGTCATCTTGTGCATACTACTAATATACCCTTGCATTATAAGTTTCAAAACATTTCGTCACAAAATAGAAAAGTTACGGTTATATCCATTATATATTGGTTATTTTAAGTTTTGCACGTGAGCGCTCTTGCAAGCAAAATGCGCGCAAAATGTGCCTTGATTACACGTCAAATCTAAAACATGCCTACTTACCCCCCCCCCCCCCCCAAAAAAATTAAATCACCTAAGTTAAAAAAAAAATGTGTAATTTACAAGATCACTCGCGGACAAAATTTTCCCAGGAAGAAAAATAATAAGAAAATAATAATAAGAAACAGAGTAAAAACAATTTTCCCCAATATTTACATTTAAAAACATTATAAAATGCATGCTGATTGTAGATTTTTTTTTTCTGAATCTAGATGAATTGAAGGATGAGGTGCTCTGTTTTCAGGACGGGTCTTTAAGTTTCCCTGCAGACTCACAATCATCCACCGTCTTTTTTGCCTAAAAAGTAATGATTTAAATATCTATTGATTTCTGAATAAAAATATCTTCAATATTATTCGATTGAGCTGTAACGTCTTTCAACATACCAAGGTAGCTAATTTTGATACTGCCATGCTAACTTTACAGGCCTTTTCCTCAGTTACATCTTGTAGCAAATCTTTGGCTAGTTTGGCTGATTCTGGGGTACAATTTTCAGCTTGTAAATTATTCACCTTATTCAAAAAGGTAGGATCATTCAAAAGTCCCCGAACAAATTTCCAGTACTAAAATTATAAGATAAATAATTTGAAAATGCATGAATAAATATTTGTCACATTTTTATAAACTTATTTTGTCGTACTCTACGGTCATTTTATGAAAGGTGTAATAGATGAACTATGAACAACTTTTAAAGGTAAATTTTATTTAATTTTTTGAATTCGTGATGTGCTTTTATAGTTGATTAATGGAGCAAGTCATTAAATTTATAAATTCAAGTATTTACCCACACAAATAAAAAAAAAATTCAAGATCACTACATTTTCTTTAATTAATGATGCATTTTTTCTCAAATAAGGGTTCTAAATTTCGTATACCTTCTTAAATCAGCATATAAAAAATTACATATACATGTATAAGACTATAACGATAATATGAATTTTCAAATGCACTTACTTTTGCCTCGGCAGGAGTATATCCCAGAAGTAAAACGGTGGCTTCTAACACGGTTTTTACAAGGGCAGGGGGGTTGTGTAATGCTTTTAACTCAATAATATCTCCTTTAGTCACTGTTGTCATGTTGGACATATATAGAATGTCTTTTGAAAATAAGCCGCTGTAAATAAAATAACATCATGTTTTAAAAATAACATGTACTCAATAAATTCTGACCGGAGGAGGTCGTATAAATATTTCACAACGCCCGCAATGCATGGTATCATAAAACAGCAAATGCCATTGTGTTTAAGATTATAATTGACTGAAGTAAATAAAGCATATTTCGACCTACCTTTAAACAATCTGTTCTCGGTGTCTTCAAACCTCTACCATGTACATGTATAACAGTTATGTATATAGGTACATGCTTATATACAAATATTGAACAACATTGGATATCCCAGTCTTGTTCAGAAGGAAAATTCCAAAACTGAATGAGTAAGTAGGGAATTAAATATAAGCGTTTTCCAATTTCGAAATTTCAACATTTAAAGTACGGTTCGTCATTTGCATTTAAGTTCTTTCATAGAGTAATAGATTTATTACCTGTGGTTGTTTTTCAATTGAGAGATAATGTGAAATCACCAGTTTTCGTTAGGGGTTAATTTTCGCTGCTTTCGAGGTTTGGAGAGACACACGAATTTATTACCCCCCACGAAATGATAAAAACATATGCATTACAAATAGACATTTTCCAACTAGCAATCAAATCCCCACGAACCAAAATTTTCACCCCAAGCGTCGAACATTTGACCCCACGATGATATGTGATTTTACATCATTATTAAAAATAATGATGAAGTCGGTACTGAAGCCACTGTACAGAAGAGTCATTTATAGTCTTGAAACACACTCAAATTACATCCTCAAGTCAATGCATAAATCATTCATTATTCTAAATTCCGCTTTGAATGAACTTGCTGTAGGCTTCGTAGATATTTTGTTTATTATATTGAAAATAATTTATGAACACTATGTACGAGTATTTAACAATACACAGATACATATTGTTTATATTCAAAATAAAATGGTAAATAAAACAGAGAACATTTTTCTTCATTGCTTTTCTCACATTTGTAAAATTTTTGAAAGGTATTTTGCCATAATATAAAGAACGCTATTGTACTGCATTAAAAGTTTTGTCGAAAAGTAGACTTTAAAAGAAAATACAATACAATCGCCAAAGGGAATAAATTTTCAATGGTTTTCTAACCTGTTTTATACCAATTTTCTCCAAAAAAAAATCTAATATTTTCAGTCGTACCATATCGAAATTTTATTTTTCATATCCGTTTCATACTCCACTTTTTTCACAACATTTTGCCCAGAACTAAAACATAAAATCAAAAAGATTATTCCTTTGTCATTATAACATTAGAGATGTACTCGTCTCCAAAATCTAAATATTGTTTTATATCTGCATATCCACTGCTCTCTCCCACTATGAGTGTGTAGCCATCAACTGCGTTCATAGGTCTATAGACGCAACTGCTTCTGGTATGTGAGCAATTGCTCTATCTCACTCGTGTAGAACAAGCTCCACTACATTTATGTATGGTATATATATTGTTTCATAAATATAAGTTTTTAATAATATTTTTTGGAAAAAAAGAAATTCAGAACAATTCAAAATTGCTGTTTGATATCTTTAAAAAATTTGTTTTGGTCAATGTATTTAATTGTAATATAAAACTTTTTAAAAATTGAATAGAACTCCAATTTTTTATTTTTTCGTACCATGCTTACTTGTACAAAGAACAATAACTCTTCACACTTGGGTAATAACATTCAGAAAGAGAAAATTTCTTTAACTAGTAGATCTATATCTATTTCAAGAAAAAATAAATAGAAAAAGTACCCAAAAAATCACAGAAAAATACTGAAAAAAGCATTCTCATTTTTATCATAGTGTTAAAATTATTGATTTTTGTCAGAGGATTTCAATAACGTTGTAATACAAAAATTAAGAGAATTTTTTATATATAAAATTGTGATTTATCAGCCTTGCAGGTGTAATTTTAAAGCCATATGGTTTTCTTTACTGGACAGAAGAAGCTGCGTCCTTATGTAAGTCAGGATTTCCTCTGATATTCTTGACAACATCAAAGAATGCAAATATAAGTAATAAACAACGATTATTTAGTGAACATGGCGAAATGAATAGCAATAGCTCTGCTGGCATATTTTCCATGATGCGCTAGCGCAATTGCTATTCATAACGCCATGTTCACTAAATAACGTTGTTTATTTCTTAAATGACATCTTTTCCATCAACTGCCAGAAATGTATCTTACCATGGTTTATTTCATGCGATCAACATCTTTGAATGTATGAATGTATGACAACATTGCATAAAATGAACAACTGAAGAAACAACAAGCCATAGGATACAATCTGAAATCTACATGTAATACAAGCAGGATATTTTTTTTATATAAAATGAAGCCTTGCGTAAAATGTGGAAGAGTCTGTTCAAAATATCTGTAAAAACTACAATAATTTTTCATAAGTAATTCCAATTAAGTTGACAATGGAATTTCATAATTCATATTTGAGAAATCTCCCATTTTCCTCCCTGGTGCATGTAGAAGATAGTGCAAATGTCTTAGACGTCTTTCTGAGAATCATCTTCATAACCTGAAATCTGATTTTCTGAAGTTTAAACATGTCCATATTGATAGAGGGTTGATTGTTCTGTTTGTTCAACACAAGAAATACTAGTATATCCGCGTTTGTTTGTTTGTACCCCAATACATCTCTCATCACAGTACTGTCCAAAGAAATCATGTCCCTTTCTTTTTTCTTCTTCGTTAAGGAAATCGTTGTCAAGGCTATTTCTGAACACCACCGCTCGACTTCACTTTCTCTATCATTGATTTTGTCTTTGAGAAATAAAAACCAAAAAAATGCTAAGTTAGGCAGCATTAAAAATAGAATTTGGGCTCATTTCGGTACTTTCAGTCTGAAACTGTTCAAATATAGGTTAAACCAAGCTATGTACTGTTTCATGAGTCTAAATGCAACTGTCTTTTGAAATAATACTTTTTCTATTTCATTGATTTTGTTTTCTTTGATAACTCTTTGAAAGTTAAAAACCAATGTAAACAGGTCGATAGGTCAGGAGCTAAGTTTTATGCATGCATTTATCTAAAAAAAATATGCATGTAAATCTCGTGCGGCTGCCTTTGTGTTTGACGTCAGTGGGCGAGGACAATCGAAATTGGCATGGGAGTCCTCGTGAAATTGAAATCTATATCTACATTTTTAAAGTCTAAATCTACAATTTTATTTCACAATAAAATAGATATATAAGTACTGTTACATAAATCTAAATGCAATTGTCTTTTGGAAATGATACTTATTACATAATATTTTATAGAAAAAAAATGAAGTCATATAATGTAACAAATAAAACATTCATGAGATTGATAGATAGAAAGTCAATTTATAAGTAAAATATAACGTTATATCTAGATATATAGATTAAAAATAACATAGCTTTTGTATCAAGTGGGTTTACTTGAGAAAATAATTCTGAAATATAATAAGTGTTTACACATTAATTGAAGATCAAATTTCTCGAAGTGTCACGTGAGATGCAGATGATTCCAATACATGTAAATAGAACACAAAATGATAGGCTCTACAGAATTTAAGAAACTTACCCATGTGTACATTTTTGCAGCGTAGAGATTTTTATTCCTGACGATTTCTATTGTGTACGGTGCTAACAAATCCTCTGATTTCTGGGCAGTTGCCGGGGAACAGTATAGAGGGTCAAAGTGAGACACTTTAGTCATCACTGATTTATCCCCGGTTCTGGACAAAACACCCTTACATTTATTCCAGTCCTTAAAAAAAATGGTATCTTTCTGGTTTTTACATGTTTTAAGTAGAGGTGTTAATAACAATTTTAACTTGTTATTATTCAGCAATTTATTATAAGATGAATTTTTTTTACGTAGAAATTAATAAAATTTTGAAGATTAAGGAATGATGTGGTTTTTTTTAGTTATACCAAAAGAACAATGTATTATTGATGATAACTTTATTCTTACTTTTACGTCATTTTGGGAATATTCCAAAAGTATCAAGAATGCCTTTATCACATCGTCAATACCACGTGGTGGCGAAATAAGTTGCCGCAACTCGACTATCGTCTTTTGTTCCATTTTGGTTTGTTCAATGAAACCTTTCCATTATAAGTGTAAACATATGTTTGCTTGTCTTACATATATTGATATACTTGGCTGTTTAATTCATTTAAAACTTTTAATCCATAGGCATGTCCTTTCTACAATTAAACCTCTTAACCCTAATTTTCTCTTTAAATGATTGAAACAAATGAGAATAAGTGACCCTAGAGAGAAGGTAAATAATCTTGTTTCTATGGAGTATTCAACTCTGCTAAATTTTAAAAATAAAAAGGCCTCTAAAATAAAAAAAAAATGAATGTTGAAATCAATTGTAATGCTATCGATTATTTTAATGTTAGATCTTATCAAACTTTACAAAAATGAAGCATTGTTGATCAAGTAAAGAAGCACAGTCATACATGTCTGCGACTATTCCAGTTTTATCCCAAACAAGCCTTTCTGCAATAACTTTTTCCTCACAACGATGAAGAGAGAAACAGACAGGAGGTATCTAACCCAGACTGGGGAGCATTGTTACCATACACTTATAACAAGCTTCATTTCTTAGAATTGAATTGAATGAAATATGAGGCCATGGAGATAAGGAATAGCATTCGAGCTCTAAAGTCCATTAAAAATTACAAACTAGGAGCAGAGCAAACACGGGCACCCAAAACATCAGAGGTGGGATCAGGTGCCATGGAGGAGTGATCATCCCCTGTCGACCGGTTACAACTCCAGTATGTTCCTTGTCATGATCGGGAAATGACGGGAAAAAATCCGTGGACAACTCAGAGTATAAATAATGACCTAACAATCAGTATGAAAAAAGTCAGTCAGAATATGACTTAATGATAAATTGCATTTGCTGACAATGTCATTATATCGACCATAGAACTTATGAAATGGTGACTCTAAATGAGAATTTTGATATTCTTGCTTTATCAACTTGTTTGTTAATAACATACCTCGTCTGACCAAACGTTTGTACGTAGAACAAGCCCTTCCGTATTGAATCAACTGAGAGATATAAACTCCGTATGCAGGTGACAAAGGTATACTGCTGCATAGGTAAGGGAAGTTGACGATTGAAAAGTTAAAGTCATAATGTTTATCATAAAACTTGGTTGTTAGATAATCATAAAGATCTTTTTTGAGTAAAAGATCTAAATAAGAAGCAGATGTGTCAGACTCTGTGGTGTCTTTTATTTTTAGCTCTCTGGGATAAATCGTGTCGACATAAGAATGGAAATAACCATTGTTAATTGATAATACTTCGTCAATATATCTAAATGTCGAGTTGAAGACCACAGCAAGTGTTTTCTTCTTTTCACGTAAAAAATTTTGAACAAAGTCTGCTTCATATGAATACAAAAATAGGTATGGCAATAACGGGGCGCAATTGGCACTATGGGAAATCCAATAGATTGTTGGAAGACCTGTTATCCAAAAACATTGTCAATTAGAAATGCAAGCATCTTTTTAATATCAACTTCAGAGTACTTGTATGTACTATTAGATTCTTTTAAAACAAATTAGTTTTGCAAATGACCAATGAAAAGGTAAGTAAATTTATGAGTTTCATTTTATTGTTGTTTGTTTCATTGTTCAATAATTTACCTCTTTTTAGAAATTGTTCATACGTAGAGCATGTTCTTGCAAGTGATTTGAAATCCTTTTCTTACCTTGTGCCAGTCACAGTTTTCATTTTCTGTAATCTTAAAATTACTTTGTTTTGAAAATTCAAAACATTTCTACCTCCTATTACATAATATCAACAACACAATGCTATTAATGATGATGTATTTATTAAACTACATGTATAAGTAACAAAACAGAAAATGTCTAAGTTAAATTAAAGTAAAATTAAATTTGGACGGAATTTTGTATATTAAGTGTTTATATAACAAACCAACTCCAGATCTGCAAAAGATTTGTGCAAAAACTACAACTGGACGGAGTGAATTGTATGAACGTTTTTATGGCAATGTAATAAAAATGAATTACTTTCGATCTTATCAATAATTAATCAAGGTTAATTTGCCATTAACAACAAAAATCTTAAATGTTCAATATATCTCAAAATACAACAATTTGACGTATTCAATAAACAAATTGTAACATTTTTGTTTAGTGGCTTAAATAAATCAAATCTTCAGTAAGATTACTGAAAAGCCTATATGCCATCAAATCAAACGTTTTATATATACCCAACGTATCTGGCACTGCTATATTTATTTGCTGTAGTAAAGAAAAATGTACGTGAATATAACAAATCTCTATTCCATACCCTTTATTTAAACTAAATACAATGTGCCAAACTTCAAGATAAATAAACAATGTAAGCAAGAAATAAAATATTAATCCTGGTTTGATATTTACAAGTCATATAAGCAAGAAAAAAACAGTCAGATTCAACCCTATCACGTCATGTAAACAATTTCAACCATTCTTCTCTCAAACTTCAAAAAAAACTAATAAACGGAATCACGTGACCACATCTAGGTATCAGCAGAAATATTCAAGGAATCACGTGATTCCGTCTAAAAATCAGCAGAAATATTCAAGGAATCATGTGATTCCTATCAGAGAAATACTGATGTCTCTTAGCACAACCAATCCCGTTCCCGTTTAAATTCATAATATTCTGGATAGTGCACTCTATCTCTTCTTTTTCTTTGCGCCCGCTGCATTTCCCTTTTTAGTGGTGGACTTGTCCTTCATTTTATCGTCTGGTCTCTCAGCTCCACCAGTTGCCTCAACTTCTTCAATCATTCCTTTAGCCTATTTAGAAATATGGATTAAAATATTTCTTTTAATATTATGAACGATAATTAACTTGATAGGCCTACATTTTACCATAACTAATCATTACATGGGTAAAAATAGGGTTGAGAGCAAATCCTTCGTATCAATCTTTTTTCTTTTGAAAATTTTCCTTAACTCACCCAAACAAAAAAGGTTGCAGCCCCTGCGCTGACGTCACGGATCTGCTCAAGTGAGTAGGGTTCAATCACTAACTTAGCTGACTGAGCTACATCAAGGTAGCAGTCTTTTGGGTCAAAGCCCGAAATGTGACGCATGACTGACTCTCGGCCTGTCTTACCCAGGATGCTCTGGCATGTTTTCCAAACCTGCAATATAAATTCTCAATAGATACTTGTCTTTGATTGGAAAAATTACATTCAGTAATGGTTCCCATGATATTGGCATATCTCTAAGCTATTATAATTGTTCTTTCCTGTGATTTTGAGGCTGTTACTAGGACGGAATTAGTCTTTATACAAAATATCTGAATGGATAAAGGTAGAAATAATTGAAAATGCATTGAGATCGTTTTGTTCATGAATGGCCTGCATATAGGAAATCAATTCTGTATCTAAGTCTAATCACATAATTATAAACTAGCTTTTATCGTGTAATCTGCATTCATTCACCCTAGTAACTGCTTTCTGCCGAGCAATTTGCACAGATAAATTACAGATGAAGAGAGATCAATAATTAAAGTTTACAGAATTAAATTTGCATTCCCTAATTTTGTTAAAACTGTGGTACTACTCGTTCAACGAACTAAGCACATTGCAACTAATAGTTGCATTTATCACGACACCCTTTGCACATTCAAGCGTCCTTGTTTAAGATGTTTTAAATGAAAAAAAAGAACATAAATATTGCATTTTAAAATGTTCAATTATTTTTTTTCCATGTGCGTTTGCTGTTCAATCAAATCCTTGCATACTTCTATCTGATTGGCTAATGTCAATATCAACACTATTTCTGTTAACAAATTAAGATATGTCAAAATTAAATTTTTGTGACGGAAACTTGCGAGCGTTTTAACTTTATAACTTGAATGAAAAGCACCAATGAATAAAACTGTTGAACTGCAAACTTAAATCGGACATACATTTTTCTGGAAAACAAATACGTAACAGACTTTTCATTAAGAACAAATTTATCTTAACAGAAACTTCCTTTAATTTGTGATTTTTATATGAATTTATTTGAATATTTTAAAGATTTTTGCCTTTATAATGTTGACATACAAGTTTAAAATTGGTTTCTCAAAGAGGAAAATTCGTTTGTTGAAATCCAATAGTTGTTGAATATCTTGCTAAATTCAGGCCTATCGAAAAAAATGTCTATTACATTAAATTGACCTGACCTTCACATCCTTTTTGGAATGTCCTATCAACAGGAATGCAGCTTGCAGTGACTGGTGAACGCCATCTGGCGGATTGCCGTAGGTGCGGATCTCGGCGATGGTTCTGTTGTCCATATTAAGGACGGAGTGGCGGAGTCTCTCGATTCTATGCAGCTGATCCCTAAGACGACCTGCCATGACAATCTGAAGATCCAGAAGACTATCGTAGTTAGCGGCTTTGGCGCGGGCGATTGCTTTGTCCAAATCATCTATGCTTCTGTTGTGTGATGCAGTATTCAGCTCTAAAAAAAATAAATTCATCTTCATAATAAATAACTTGTTCTTTCATACCTTTGTTAAAATAAGTTCATTTATGAATTCTTTTCCCCATTCTTCTCATCCTTATTGTTAAAAATTAAAGTCCTTATTTCTACAATTTGAGGAAATATTGTGTATCCGTACTTTCAAGTAGTTTTTTAAAAGCATTTGTTCATACCTTCTTTGGCTCTAAGAAGCTCTAAAAGCCTCTTTGCCTTCAGTAACAGTTTATCATTCTCTGGAGGGTTGGTTGCTTCAAAGTCTGCAATGCTCCTTTCCAGCATCCCTGGGTCCTTTAAGTCCATTGCTTTCTGAATGGCTCTCTTGAGAGCGCCCAGCTCCTTATCGGCTTCGTCCTGTTTGTGCTCTTCCTCCTCGCGGTTGTGTTTCATGTCAGCTTGCAGCTGATCCATCAACAATCGTGCGTCATCTTGATACAGCTCTGATGCGGGTTTCCTGTTGACTTGATACCTTGCTATGTTCTTCACTTGCCCATTTTCATCCTTCTGGTACAGATCCATTATATACTCTCCATACTCATCGAATGTAGCCTTGAACAGTTTCATGCCGTCTTGCTCCATGAATTCTAGCTCTTGGGCATTGGGAGGATCGTCTGCATGTCTTCTATGAAGGCAGGCGACCACGTTGTCAAAACCTTTAGGTACTGGTATAAGGATTTCTTTCTCTGACGTCTGGACTGTTTCCGTGACCACTTTGATTTCTTCTTTTGAGTCATCCCCATCTTTTGATTCATTATCTTCGCCATCTTCTAGAGCATGCCCATCCGACTGAATCATGTACGAATGTACATTATAAATTCTCTTGTTGTCATCGCCTTTCTTTTTGGCGAAAACATTCACCGAATACTCCCCTTCTATAGGCATATCGATATCGAATACCCACTTGCCATTGACTTCCTTGGGATAGACTTTCATGTGCTTTGTTGCATTAGGGTCATTGCTGTGAAGCTCACAGACAAGTTCCATATTATTTTTAGCCTGGAACTCCAACTTTAATTTGCCGTCCTTTGAATGAAGTTTACTATCCTTATGGGATAAGGCCTTTACACCCAAAGCATCAGCAATTGATTTTTTGCCTATGAAGCCATCAGTAATGTTGGGGAATGGCTTGTTCGACAGGTTCTTCTCGTTGCATTTGACGAGATAATTTAAGACATTGCCAGCTTCTCCATCTTCCCCGTCCTCATTAGCATATAATTTCAATGCGTATTCTCCTCCTTGAGGTAATCTGAGGTCGACAATGAATTCTCCATTCTCTTCTCTTATCACTGCATATTTGCTGAGAGTGGCTTCATCAACAATCGTATTCTTCAAAAGCTGATGCAGACGAATGTCTTTATGTGCACCCAGTTTGATTTCAACTTTTCCATCCTTTGTGATAATGATCGCACCGTCGTGAGATTTTGCCTCCAATCCTGCATTTTTGGCATCACCACCAAAACCCCAACCAATTGGCGGGCAATCTGGTAATGGAAGGCAATTTTTCTGTGCTTCTGGACAATTTATGAGATATGTGCAGGTCAAATCAAAGATGTCCGACTCACGCACGTCTAGCCCAAAAATGTCCATTTTGAATTTTCCTTGTAGAGGAAATCTCAATGCAAATCGAAGATTCTCAGCTGTATGCTCAAACAACACAAACCGATCTAGATTGACGTCTGCTTGATTCCCGCCGGCAGATTTGTTTTTATAAAGCATGTATTTGAACCTATAGAATTCGCTTCGATCTGGAGGCAACGAGAAAGGAAGGGAGATTTCTCCATCTTTTGCCGTAAGTACACATTTAGTTTCACTTTTGGGTGTAAAGTTAATTCCAAGGTAGTAGAACCTCTCCCTCACATACACGTGACTCTCGTAATCTTTGACTGTGATGGGCTTTTCTAACAGTTGCCAGTCTTGCTCATCGGGGAAATGTGTCCATATTAACTGGTCAGGGTTGGGCAGAAAGTAGAATTCATTTACACGATGTTGTGTCTCCCCTTCCGATTCCTCTTCATCCTCTTGTGTAACGTTACCGTCATTGTCAACAAGTGTCCACTCACTTGACTTTTTCCCAACAACACATGCTGAGGCCCAGAATGCATCCATGAATCTCCAGTCGTCTTTGATATACACGGCATTCCACTGGGCACCCATGTTCTTCCTTTCACACTTACTGCCGATTTCATATGCAGCACTTTTGTTCATGCCACTTACTATGACACAAGGTAGACCTGCCATTCTACAAAAACAATTCAAACATTGTTAGACCTAGGTTGGAAAAATAGAGTTAAAATATTTTCAATATATTTTTATAGAAAGATGTTCCATTCCGACAAAATATTTTTGAGGAATATTACAGTCAAATGATATTACTCACTGACACAATCCTGACACCAGATGAGCATGATTGCCTTGATTCTTTTGAATTTTGGTGAAGTACTCCAGGGGTGAGTGCGTGGGAGGGTCGCTGTCCACCTTGAGACTGTAAACATCAATAGCTGTCACCCATCGGAAAATGGCGCGCGCCTTGGCGACGTCATCCCAGTCCTCTTCTGCCGTCAGGTATCGGATGAGTTCCTTAAATGACCCCATAAGGAGCCTAGGGGGAGCCTGAAAAATAAATACAATAAGCTTGAAGACAATTAAGAAAAGATAGAGTAATTCATAAAAGCATAAGAATTAATGCATAGGCTAAAATGACCCTGGAAACGCATGAAGTGCATTCTTCACTGCATGAGAACCATGGAATTGGATTTTTAAAGATCTTAGCAAAACAAGGTTAAGTGATGGTTTTTACAATTTGATCAAATTTTCGAAAAGCAAGATAATGTGCTGTAAAAATTATTTTATCCCCGTATCAAAAGCCAACAACTAAATGCAAATACGTATACTTACATTGAGGACATAATCATCAACAAACTTGTACTTTTCCAAGCTGAAGATGTCATCCTTTAGGGTTTTCGGCGGTTTGGGCGGGGGGATCTGTCTGCTATGATAGGGTGGCGGTTTTCTCCCCTGTAATATTGTATAAAATAATTGCTATGAGATTTTTATTTTAGATGTGAATTCTACATCTTAATTTCCCTGCACCATGATATTTCAATAACCAGTGTTGTTATAAACGATGGTGTACTTGTAGAATCAGTTTAGAGATTTTTTTCCCCAAAAAAAACCATTTCCAGAAACCAGAAAACTAATCATCCATTTTTAAGATGACACAGCAATAATGACTTTTCCAATAAAACTGCCATTCTACATTGGGTCTTTCAAACGAAGTCTCAGCATAAACTATCATACCAACTCGGAATATTCTATATCATCAGGTTTGCATTTGGAGCTGTACCATTTTTTTTTTATTTCTGGGTTTTACCATAATAAGATACTAGTATTTTATTGTTTTCTTGGTTTTGTTATAGCATTTTTGAATTTCATGGATTATATTTCAGTATAATCATGTGGTTTTTCGATTTAATCGAAATCAGAAATCAACAGATACTGTCACAGTTATGAATCTTATATACAAGTTACGTCTGTACCAAGTTTTTGATTTGAAAATTTGCTTAAAGAAAGCCTGACGAACGAAAAGATACCAGTATACGACGAAGAGCTTAACTTCCGAAGTATAATCTCTTCTTAAATTGTCTAGAAAAATTATGAATCAAATACTGAACACGAGTCATTTTATAAATATTTTCTTTGGCCAAAAGTTTCACGGTAAAGAAGTAAAGTCTAAATAAAAAATTTAGACATTAAATAAACACGAGAAATTGATCCAAAGATGAGACATTTGTCTGTGGACGTCAATTCTCTGAACTGAAACACAGAAAAATAAATATTTTACATGTACCCTTTATAGGTTTTAAATTGAAAAATATAATTACACCAAATTGATTTTGCTACTGAATAGGATTTTCAGAATGTTTAATGTCACGTAAGAATAATAAGCTGGTAATCACGATATGTTTATAAATTTTTGATAGGAAAATGTAAACAACGGCAGATTTTTTCATTAAAGATCTGCTGCTGAGATCTAATCGAACACGATGCATTCATATAAAAAGTTTTCATTTTAAATCTCCGTACGTAATCCATTATATCATTAATCGTTTTCATCTGATGGAGACTTTTTTATGTAATTTAACCTTTGAAGAATCTGCAGCTTTTGTGTACATTATTTGATATCAATATTTATCAATATATTGATATTTATCAATATTGATTCAGAACATGGCCTGGTAGATCAAGGTGTTTCTCTGAGTCCCAAAACAAATTTAATGATTTTATAAAAACAAGGATTATACAGAATTTTCCACATCAGGAAAATACCCCCCGATCGAGGCACTTTTTTTATATATGGCATATTATAGAAGTCCATGATTATGCATTTACTGATATCCAAGATAAAAGATTCATAAATGAAGAAGACATAAGTCCAGTGTCATAGGGAATGTCAAGGTCGAAAAAAATAAGAAACAGTTGAATTGCTCTCGCCAATTTGTATCAGAGTATTAAGTGTAATAAAAACATCTTTTAAAAGTCAGAAAGAGTATATCTTTGGGAAGTCAAGGTAAAAACATTATCAGTTGCGATATAAAGTAAGATGGAAGATCGTGCTATACGACCTAGAACTTGTTTCTCTAAAAATCAGATAGATTTAAAACGAATATACTTTGGTCGAAGTTATAGAGAAAGACAAAAAATTATAGCATCTTGGAATTGCTTCAAACAATTTCTTCCAGGGCAAAAAAATTGAAGAAATACTATACAATGTAAAACTTTTTTCTCTCAAGCGAGCTAAACGCAAAATGAAGAATAGTGAGGTCAGGGTCATGATAGGGGCACAAATAATTGATAAAATGTGACAATAACTACCAGCAGTCATGCTGTATAGCCTAGATAATTTCAACAGATCAGAAGCAGAACAAACAGGGACCTCTAAGATTGGAATCAGGTGCCATAGAAGAGTAAGCAAAAACATCAGAGAGAAAACTCTGTGGACAATCCATTGTGGTAATAAAGACCTAACAATATGTATGAAAAAAAAACGTCATTCAGCATTTGACTAAATGACAGCTTGTATTTGCTGACAAAGCCATTGTAATCATAGAACTTGCAAAAAGATGACTTTAAACGAGATTGTTGATATTCTTATTTCATAACGTGTGTATCAATAGCTTGCCTAGTTTCAGAAATAGTTTGTATAAGTATCTAAAAAAAACATGCATCTGATTAGGACATATGACATATAAGTTAGGGAAGTTGACCTCAGAAAATGTTATGAGTAACAGACAAGATCACCCGTGGGTATCCGACAATGCAGAAAATCGGTCTTCAAAGTAAAGTATATATCCTCTATGTTATATGTCACAATGTTTGGTTGAGTTAACCAAATTCAACATCTATTACTTTGACAGTGGTCAAATACAGTTATCAGAAAATCTATACCTATTAGAGATGAAGAAATCGAATTTTATTTTAAAAACAAATCAGTAAAATGGTCATACCTTGGACTTAATGGACTTTTCGGTACTTCCCGACATTATCCTAACAGGAGCTTATGTTGAAATGCACAGATTTTATCGGATGACAATCATTTTGATGCTAAAATCAATGGGAACTTATTGATATTATAAGTCGTATGAAAAAAAAACAACAGGCGGTTCTGATTTAACACAAAGGAAAAATCCATATGGATAACGTATATACCAGCGCTTCCGTAAACCTTTCCTCGAGCTAGTCCAAATTTGCTTTGAAAAATGCCATTATGTGAAAACAGAACTCGGAGAGAAAGCGCTGTTGACGAAATCCATGAACCCTAGAAAGTCATACAATGGATTTCTTTCGTTTGAAATAACAATGAGTTCAGCTTTTCTTGTTTTGATTCCATTTAACTGTTTAAACTTCAGATCATATCCACTTTCACGCAATATTACTACTACTAGTATCTATATGTATAAGAAAAGGGACATACCAAAACCAGGCTTATGAAAGATGTGGTAAAGATAAAAGGAAATGTGCACATCAGAGTAAACCAAGGATAAAAAAACACCACCATGTGTAGAAGGTCAAATGCAACGAACAACTGAGTTTTTCCTTAAATCTACACATTCAAGGAAAGTTGAACGAAGCATTTCTACTTGTGCTGCACGCCCTCAACCTAAAACCAAACACCCTCTTGTTACAACCTCTTCATCATCTGTTCCTTGTGAAATGCTTCTTATGTCATCTTTTCCACTCTGAAAGGTTCAAATAAATCATTTATAAAATTGTTTAATTCTTGTTACTCACAATTTTAGTAATTCATTATGCATATTTAGACACCTCAAACACTTTTTTTCTTATTTGGTGGATTTCAGCTGGTGTAAAATAATAATGTCATACTTGTAACCTTTTTAAAGACAGGGTTAAAAATAATGCTTTGCGTCTGTTAGAACCACCTACCAACATGAAAAGGAATTTGATTTTAAGGATTACAATTTGACAAAAATGTGTTCGTTTAGAAATACTTGTATATCAGTTATGTTCAATAACTACCACCACGGTAAGCTCTTGGAAACCATAACATTTCATATCGGAATTGCCTTCAAATTATTGATAAGAAACAAAATGAAAGAAATGACCTTATCGTGTTCTCAGCAACGAAAGTTACATTTACAAGTTCAGTCAGTTGTTCGAGTCAATATCACTAAAATAACACATACAAGATTATCGAAATACAATATTGCAGAGATTATATTGGTTTTAATTAGTTCTTTGATGATATTTCTCATCACAAAAAAAGTTTAAATCTTCAAAATTAAATGATATTTCATTTTTATATTTTTATCTATAATGCAACAATTGATTAGCATGTTAGAATTAAAGGGAACATTAACAAATAAATATACAGCATTGCTAGGTCAGTCAATAAGAGGTCATTGGAACATATTAAATTGATATATATTCTTTTTATACACTCGCACTATCGGCAAATATTCGTAATCCTAAATAAGACTTATTGATTAAATTTTACTTTCTCTAGAATGCATGCAGTTTATATAGAGTTCATCTGAACACCACGTTAAAACACCATATAGATATAAAATTAAAAAATTCGATCAAAAAAATGGGAACCAAAGATTAAGAAGCTGTACTTGACAAAATATATTTTTAAGTGAGGTATGTAGTATCTTGTATGAATGATTGGTCAATTTTGAGCATTCAATCATAAGCAGCATAGACCTTTAATTAAACACCTACAAAATTACAAAGTACAGCATAAAGCTAAATCGTTTCCCTATATGCTTCATACACACATTAAGTACTCAAAATAGATTTTATCCATTATCACTTAGGGCTGGACTACTTTAAAAATGTAAACTACTCTTCAGAAACTTGGCAAGACGCAACATTTGAAAGAAGTGTCCTACTGACATATTTCATTTCATCAAATAAAATCTGCAACATGGCTATTTCAAAATTTCAAAATAGTCATGCTGCAGCTTTTTCATATGATAAAAATAATATGTGAGAAATGACACAAGACAACAATTGCATCTGTAGGACACTTGTTTTATAATTTCAGCAAAGCTAGTACATGCAGTATACAATCTTATATACATGTACAACATGCAATGTTCAGCACATATAATTAAAGGAATACAGGATATGTTCTAAACTTTCTAATTTATTATTCATGTCGACATAAATATTTAGGAGAGTTAAAAATTAAAATAAATGGTGAAGGAACTAAATTTTTATTAACCTCCAGGGAAAGGTCCATAAATAAAATCTTTTTAACTGTCTGTGCAATGTTCGATGTATAATTATGAACTAGTAACAAAAAGATGCTCACAAAAACTTTGATCGTTTTCAAGCCAAAATAGAAACCAAATAGGCGCCGCTAATCGGAGAGAGTTCAACGTATTGCTTCCCTCTTCTTTGAAAATATTTCATCGACTTTTTTTTGCAAGTGGTAGATTTTAGTAAACATATAAATCTTTTCTTTTAAAAAAAAAAAAACTGATTTACCGTAATGAAGGCTAAATTTTAATTAAAAAAAATTCTTTGTTGCCAGTAACTTGGAAGACAAAGCAAGAATTGTGTAACCCACTACAGCTAATGAAGTTAAGACAAGCTTTAAAATCATTAATTTACAAAGAAAAAATAAGCAAAAGCACTAAGAGGCTGGGAGTTGATTTCTATATAATGCCTAGCTACTCAAGGTTGTACAACAAAGAAACATTTAAAACTACGGGAACAGCGTGCACTGTATTGACAAAATGCGAAGGAAATTTTTTAGCCTTGTTTGGTTTTCTTTTTTTATATATATATATTAGACAACTGGTTGTGCTTCATGTTCTGATGGTGTTCAGGATGTAAGCTTTTGTACAAAGATAATGTGTCACGCTCCGCATCGTGGATCTAAATGAAAAAATCTATTACGATGTGAGAGAGGGGGAAGCGAACTGTTTAAATGTCAGATTGCATTGTGCATGACACAACGACATGAATGGACGCAACAAAAAGTACGTGGAACAAAAAAGAAACTATAAAGAAGAGAAATTGAAAGCAATATATAAATCATAAAGATGCAACATAAATCATTGGTAACTAGAGGTAGTTTTTTTTATAATTACAATTAAAAATTCCACATTTATCATTTATATGTAAATGAAATATATGGAGATAATGAACATTATTCAAGCTCCAAAGTCACATTTTGGAGCAGAGCAAGCATGGACCTGAAACATCAGAGGTGGGATCAGATGCCATATAAGAAGATATTTTGTCAAGCTACATTAAATTTCCTTTAATCTACCTCTAATTACACTTAAGCCACGGTACAACACTCACAGTGGGTGCAGCAGATTTGGGTGGGTTACGAGAACTAGAGGGTGTGTCTGTGCCTGACGGGGAAACCCCGTTTTGAAGTGATTTCTTTACATTTGGCGCCGAAGACGAGCGCTGCACCGTGTCCTGTGGTGTGGACGGTTTCGATCCCATGACAACTGTCACGTGGTGTGGACTCTCACTTCATATTCAGCAAATCTGTAACGAAAAAAGAGCTGATCTATTCAGTAAATTCTCTTAACAAATTATCAAAGATTGTTACAGGTAAAATATATCTTTTTTGTTGAGACACAACTCACAACTTACAATTGAATGCAAAGAAAAAACATTTGTGTTTTACAATGTACTATAAAATGGATTATATGGAGGTAACGGACAGTATTCCTTCTCAAAAGTCCATGAAACAATACAAAATAGGAGTAGAGCAAACACGGACCTCCAAAACATCAGAGATGGGATCAGGTGCCATGGAGAAGTGAGCATCCCCTGCCGTCCGGTCCCACTCGTTGTGCGATCCTTGTCATGATCGTGAAATAATGGAAAAAAATCTGTCGACAGTCCAATGTTTATATAATGGCCTAACACTTAGTATGAAAAACGTCAGTCAGTATTTGGTTAATGATAAGTTGTATTTGCTGACTGTGTCATTGTATCGACCGAAGATCTTACAATATGATGACTTTTAAACGAGACTGCTGATATTCTTGTTCCAGCAACTAAAGGAAGGCAAGTTGATGATTGAAAAGTTGCAGTGATATCTCGTTGTCATAAAGCTTATTAACATTAATGTCTTTTTCATGTAAAATTATTCAAATATGAAACAGATGTCTCAGACTTTATGGTATTTTTTTTCTTATTTCAAGCTCACCGGGATATATCGTATCGATAGAAGAATGGAAATAACCATTATTAATTGACAATACGTCGTCGATATATCTAACTGTCGAGCTAAAAGCCACAGCAAGTGTTTTCTTCTTTTCACGTATAAGATTACTTAGTATTACAAATTCTGCTTCATATGAATATAAACATAGGTAATCAGAGATTACAGAGCTCACCTCAACGAATGTTGTCTTTAAGTAAGGCAAAATCACACAATTAACCAACAAAAAGTGTACATTCCAAAAATGAAAATATTTAAGCAATTTTGGAACTTTGAAACAGACCTACATAAAAAATTTAAACTAGTTCTTCTTCATGAAAATGTAATCAAAATCTCTGAAGTTGATATTAAAAGGAAGTTTGGTTTATACAATGTTATATAAGCCTTATAGTTTTGTCAAATTGACTACTTTTATTTATATAAAAAAGTCTTCGGATTCAGCATCCGAAAAGTTTTCCAACAAACTGTTGGAGTTCTCCTTATAGGGCTCATAGTTAATTGGAAATGAAACATGCTAAAAACAACATTTTCAATCCACAAAAAGGAGGTCAGATTCAGCATCTTTTCTTTTGTATCTTCCTATGAAGCAGAAATTATTCAAAAAACTTTAACTGTTCACTCAAGAAAATGAAGGTCACAACACTTGTGTGCATCCTTATCATCCATGCAAGTTTGGTCAACATAGGGCTTATAGTTACTTGGAAATGAAACCTGCACAAAAAAATTTAACCTGCTCACGGAAAATGTTTTATCAATATCAATTAACTATAGTTATGTATCATAAGTTTGGTAACATAGTTATAGTTACTTGGATATATCCCTGCACCAAAAACTTCAACCTGTTCAAACCTAAAATGTACACCACAGGGTCTGCATCCTTAGATGTATCATCCATGTTTCACATAAGACTTATAGTTAATTGGAAATTTTTAACCTGTTCACTCATGTAGAAGAAATGGCAAGCCCGGTAGTCAACCTTAACATAAATTGTATAGGCTTATAGTTACGACATAAACTGTGACCAAAAATGTTAACCTGCTCCAAAAACATTAATCTGTCATTTCTTTGTTTAAACTGTATATTCCACTTTCTCCCATGCATGTATGGACATAGTTTATTTGCTTAACCTTAACCTGGGACGCTCACATGCTCGTTGAGGTGAGCTAAACCAAATTTCAAAAGCAAGGCATAATTCCAATACACACTCTAAGGTTGATATTAAAAGGATACTGGAGGTCCTCATTAACTACATTTATGTAGTCTTCGGAGACAAAGTTTTCCAACAAACTGTTGGAATCCCATTGGGCACTAATTGTGCTCCTTTACTTTATCTTCCTATGAAGCAGAAATTATTCGAAAACATCTTTAGAAGAAGAGGACAACACTTGTGGCCATCACTTCGAAATTCGGACATATCGACGGTGTTTTATCAATATCAATTAACTATAGTTATTATATTCGCATATTGACTCCATATATCCCACTAAACTCCAAATAAAATACACCACAGGGTCTGCCACATCTGTTTCACATCTAGATGTTTTACTGACCATAGACGACAAAGGCTAGTTAACAACTAAATTGTATGACAAACGAGATGACTTTTCTTTCGTCAACTTTCCTTATTTATGTAGTAATAGTCCACCATTTTATGGTTGTTATTAGACCTAGTTAGCAATATTACCTATCGTTGCGTCGTATTTTTGCTGACTGATCTCATACCAGTTGTAAGACCTTTGTTTTTGTACTGAATTAACTACGGATATATACGTCTATTTGTCAATAGATAGCCGAGGCTCAAGGCGGATGTGACTGGTCATCAACAGTGGATGCCTACTCCTCCTTGGCACCTGATCCCACCTCTGGAACTTACAGGGATCTGTATTTTATGCCCACTTCACATATTTGTATTGTTCGTGGAACTTTTTTACATCGATCACCCTTTGTTATCTTTACTTTTTAGATTGTTACATACAATGCAGTGCCATTGCGTTTTAAATTTCGGCCACATAATGTTTTGATTGGACGCTGTTACAGTAATAGAAACATTAACCTTTGTCATTATAGACATATGGGAGCGAGGGTATCATTTTAAGAGCTCAGTCCTTACGGTTCCTTTAAGTTTCATTTGTTTTTGCTGCTGTTGTTTTGGAATCACAAGTCACTGATCTAAAGCACTTTTCTATAGTTTTATTTTTTAATAGAATTTTCATTTTAAGAGTCTAATGCTAAACGTCAACAAAACTTAATCAGTCGTTGACTGAATCTATCGATTAAAAGATGTCTTGCAATACCCTGAACAGATCCACAGAATTCTTAACAAATGCCAATTATTTCACAATATTTGAAAGTGTTTTATGCAAATACCTACAAATGTAATAATTTGGAATGATAGATTAAAATTTAAACGCTGACAATACATCTTAAATGTGGGGGATTTTGCCATCAAACTCGTTTGTAAATATCGTACACAATTACAGGCAATTGTACTACCAATTTAATAAAACTTTTAATTTATAAATTCAAATAATTCTTTGGCGATTTCAAAAATTTTTCATTTGTTCTCAAACATTTAGTGTACACAGTTGCTGAAAACATATTACTTTTTAACTTGAAAAAACGTTTATTTATAAAAGGTGGGCAGTCGTGCTTTGAGAACACATGTACTAGAACATTGACTTTGCCACCTGCAGAGGTACCATTGACTTTTCCACCTGTTTTTATAAGCTTTTAAATTAAAATTTTGAAATGCTTCAAAAATTTCTAATGAATATACTCGTACATTACAAAAATTTTAACGTATAAATAATTACTGTAATGCTTATTAACAATTCTGTTTTTAAAGGCGTGGGATGTTGAGCTTCATATCTTGTATTAAACTCCGGATCACACAACTGATTCAGCAGCATTCTACTTCAGTGATATGGGTCAAGGGAGATGGAATTAAACTCGACCAATTAGTTCCACAATGTCGTATGCTTTTATTTTCAACTACAAGAACTGAAAGTATTTTAAATCTTATAATGTTACACCAATGACTTCCTCAAGAGTTTTCGAATCGTATTGTCCATCAGAATTAAATAAAATCTTATTGATCCCCTAAAACATCCCTCACATTAAATCTATACTTTGTCATCAAAGTACTGTTATTTTATTCCGTTTACTGTGTCTATAATGCAGAACCATGTAGCATTGATTAATTAGATCGGAATATTAAAACATTCGGTGATATAGATATGATATTTACTCAGCGTGTAGCGTAACTTTGATGATACGTTGCTGGATTCATAAAATCATTGATTTTTTTTAAGTAATTAAAGAGAGTCTGACATAGATTTTTGCACTAAGAACAGATATCATTTAGGGAATATTGCAAACTCACTGATCTACTCTGAAGAGAGTAATGTCCCTATTTAAATCTGACAAACAAGAGATAGAAGTGTAATCACATACCGGCCACACTTACGATGTTGGCGATATTGGACTTCCAATTGTATGATTTTATGCCTCGTTTAAATACGGCACTACGAGATGACAGCCGTTAGGTAGTGGGTGCCAAAATTATGCATATCTCTGTCTGTCATGGCCTTGTGCCAGTGTGCAGAGAGAAATCTACAAGCCAGCACCTACCATATCTCCATGATTGGCGCCTCATTCGAGCTAGGCTTGAAATTTTCTTCATGTTAGTAGCATCTAGGGTATAGTGAGTATTCAATCATCATTGAAATTCATTAGGTTTGTTCCAGAATGGATTTGATAAAGCTCCAAAGTAAATTTGAAGAGTAATCTATCCTTCAGATATGAAAATTGAATTTAGCAGCCAGAGCAAAGATGGTGCTTGGACAGCCAGTTAAATCAAAACGATTCTTTGACTTTTTTTTAATTTTTAAAAAGTCTCAGATTATTCTTTAATTTAAAAAAAGGTTCTGTGTTGAAATCATTAACATTTGCCATATGAGTGAACTCATTGAAACTGATAATTTTTCTAGATTCACCTGAAAAATTGTAGCAAATAAAAGCACAGAAAAACCCCCACTTCATTGTAAGCCGATTATTCTCTAGAGAAATAAAAGTGTTTCATCTTACAATTTACATGTACGATACCTGGATTCTAAGACAAATCCCAAAGCAAAAAGTTCACCTCAATAAGTCCCGTTTCTTATTGACATTCCTGGAACTTTTCAACCTTCCTATTACCATGTATTACTGCCAACCCGACACAGTTACCTTTATCAATAGATTAAGTTAAATAACTGCGATTGTTCTTTAAATAAACTTGTACATGTTAATCTTGTGTACACGAATTGTCTATCGATTTGCAATCAACCAAAGAGCTTCCGGGATAATGTTTTTGCGGTTGTCAAAATAATTCGCCAAAATTTGTGTCACCTTTATCACAATTTTGTTCCACTTTTGCAATTTTCACACAATTTATGCTTAATTTCAAATACTCTGATGTTTACGCATGAGGTATATAAATGAAAACTTTAACACAGAGCGAAACTGTCAGTCTTCTGAAGTTATATCCCCCAATTAGACTATATACTATTTTTTTTTCTAATTTTTGTCGACTAATTAAAAAAAACTTCACATCTTTTTTTTCTAGGAAACAGAAATGAAAATTGCTTTTTGTTTTTCGAAAATGTAATATAAATGAAAGCGTTTGTTATAATTTGACTGTTTTTTTCTATACGTTTTTGTCGTGACCAGAATTTAATTGCTTCACAACACTGATTTTTCGATTAAATGTTAGAATATCATTAAACTGCTTTTTGTTTGATAACATTTTATTTGTTTGACGAAATTTATAATTTGAAAAAGCGTTGGAGCAAATTGAAACATTTGGTCACAGCTTTTAACGTAGACATGATAAATGGTCGATCACATTCCTTAGTGATACCCCACTATATATTATAAGAGAGATAAAATCAGATTTTTTATTACATAATTTCAGTATATACATCTACTTTTACATTTGATATTTTATTTGGTTTGACGAAATTTATCATGCATCTTTTATGTTGTGCAGATTTAAGAATTGTCTTATAATGTGATAGTGTTTTAAATGAATTTAGATGAATATTGATCTGAATGGTTGGAAAACCTTTGCGTTCATCATTCTACGCAGAAAAAGAACCATTTATATGCCTGTAGACTTAGTATATGTACATAAAATGTATACTAGTTTATAATGTAAACTAGAAATGACACTTTAGAGTCGGTATTTATGGTTTTACATCGACCTACTTTAAAATTCATAAAATAACTTGGGATGGTTATGATTTTATGACATTTTAGTAAAGGAAAAATCCGACATTTTATCATTTTATGACCTATATATTTATGTGAACTTTGTTAATTTTCTCGGTATGTTGTAGGGGAGATGATAGTTAGGAAAATTAAGATATTTAAACGGAAGAACTTTTACAAAATATGATAAGCAAGAAAATATTTTATATGAAAGCGACACCCACCCCCACATCCACCCCCCAAAAAATAATTCTACGCATTGGAAAGGGAAAACAAACAAAAAAATCATTTTATTGTTGATATTTATATCTGTTTTAATCAATTAAAGTAGGATTAAAAAGATTAATTATTGTATTAATGATGCAAATCTTTTGTAGTTTCATTGATGGAACAGCCACTGATTAAGAAATCTGTACAGGCGACTTGCCTACTATGTAGTTAATGCAGTGATGAACGCAATGGGGTTTCTTAAGAAATAAAGGAGAAAATATTCAGTGGATGTAAATATACCAAAATAACTTTTACAAAATTTGATATGCAAGAAAATATTTGTAATCAGTTCACTTCCTAAAAAGTATTTTAAAATAAAGTATTTTAAAAAATTACTATACTTTTTCTTTTAGAATACTCAATTATTTTCACAACTGTCAGTACTGTCTACATCATTGATCTTTTCGTAGTAGATTATGTTAACTGTTCAGATGTTGATTTGTTCAATTGTTTAATTTTCATAAAATGCAAAGTTGGGTTGATTTATTTCGTGAGAGTGCTATCAAATATTTTAAGTAAAAAAAATATTAATATTACTGGACATTTCTTTTGTTATCAGTTTTGCAAAAATGCAAGAATATGCCCCAGCCTTGTAATTATATATACTTCCTTTTTTTCGCCGAGGTTTTCTTTTAAAATTTATGATATGTCTTTAATTCTTAAAAAACTTTATTTCATAAGCTGTTTCGCAGAGGTGCTATCAAATATTTTAGGGGGGAAATAAGTTTGGAAACGTGCTGTTTCGAAAATGGGGAATATGCTCCTGCCTGGTCTGACATTCCCTTCCTTTCCGATGTTGAATGTTAAGAATTATGGGGCCTGTGTTCGAAAATGGGTAATCTTATCTGTATTAAAATAATTGAATTGAAAATTCTTGCAAATATATTTTAAACTTATAATATCTTATTATATATATCCAATGAATTGAGAAAATTTAGTGCACCAGTAATAAGAATCCATTAACCCTGAAATTTTCATCCATCGATTGATAAATGAAAAAACAATCCTAATTAATATAAGAGCATGTAAATTCGACCATTTATAATTGCTCTCAATATATATAACTTCTAATTTCTCAACCTCATTCTCCGAAGATAGATGGGGTAATTTGAAATTGACACATCACTATTATTTTTATTCAAGAAACCTCAATATGGCCTCGTTTTAGATAACCATCAAGCAAAGATGTTCAATAATTGATTCTTCTCTTTTTGTTTTATCTTTTAGTCATGACTCAGGAGAAAATGGGTCTTAATCAACGGAGTCTATAGGTGTAGTTCAGCGTTAGACAGACACATACAACAAAAATTGTTCTGAGAATTAATGTCTGTGTAGAAATATTAAATAACAGAGAGAAAAATATCGTAATCAAAATCCTTAAAGTAAACGATTAACATTTCACAAAAGGAAATAGGGACATAAACCCTAGATACTAAGGACAAAATTTGTATAACTTATTAACTCTGCTGGATAGGGCTTATTGGTTGACAGGTCGGAAAGCAAACGAAATAATTTTTCTGTTATATGCTTTATATTATTTTAAGAAAATTTCCGTAACTTTCTAAAGGTTTATAAATGCCTATATAAGTACATGATCCTGTAATATTCTTTATCATTATTTAAAAAAAAATTCTGTAACTTTCTTAAACTTTATAAATACCTATATACGTATGTGATCCATTCTCTCAATGTCACTGCCCCGGGGTGGGGCGTAGGACTCCTAATTTAGACACACAGCAAGTACACATATTTTTTTCCAGTTCTATTCATAATTAATGTCCTTGGAATGTACATCGTAAAATTTAATTGTCTTTTTGTGTAACAAAATCAGATCAACGGTGTTCATTTAAAACAGCCATTCAAATACCGTTAATCCATTTAGGACTATATATGCAACTAGTTACGTACCAAAGGGGTATTGATTTGTTTAATGGGTACTTTGCTGTTCACTTAGCCTCGATTGATTACTAGTATGTTTTACGAGCCCGTGGTAAAAGCATGAACAATCTGCAATTTAACACTTTTTTTGATATAACATGATGTAAGCATTATTCCATTAACCCCATTTTATATAAATCACAAAAATATAAACGCATACCGTACTCTAAATTCTTAAATTTATTCTAAACATTTTCTTCAAATTGAATTCATTCTTTCATTGAGTAATTTTATTTCTGTCGATCTCATGCACGTTCTGAGATAAACTCAGGTAGTTGGTAACGATTCAAGTTCCCCAAGACTTAATTTACCTGTCAGGGACCTACAGAAGGAGATACATAGAACATAAAATCTTACCTCTTCTTCGATGGGTCCTTTGGAGTCGAAAACGTATATCTCTTCGCTTGATTTGTTTGTCAAATAATTTAATTCATTTTTAAATCGCCGGTCACAAAAATTGGATTTTTCCTTTTTTCAAGCGATTGACGCAGGTAATAGTGTTTAGGCAGGTAACACATCACGTGACAGTATATCAAACAAACCTTGTTTATCGTCTTCTGGTAATGGATCGGTGGTCATTGTTATCGGTGTCGTCCTAGGGTATAGAACTCCAAACAGGCAAACCTGTGGAGAATATTACCTAAAAAGAATTTAAAGGTCTGCACGGTTATAAGCCCTTTTTATTACCAATGAAGAAGAAATAGGTATGGTGGTATTTAATTAGAATGGGCTTTTCTTTCCAGGGGTAGTCATTGTTTTGGGTTTCCAATTTCACGGATATTGTCATCAGTTGCCAAATCTTTGTTTTATTCAGTTATATTTTTTGAATGGCGCAAACTAAATGACACCCAGGATTAGCACTGCTAACTAAAATGTTCCTCAACTTCCTGTTTACTATGTTGGTCAGTCGGCGAAAATCCTGAAACCATATACATAATGTTTCTTTTACAGGGACCATCCATGTTCACAAGAGTGAACTCAGTCAGAGCACCCTTTGACTGACTTTGACTCAAATCCACATCCTTCCTTCAGAAACATAGTGCTGTCACATTTTCCTTCAAATGATTGTTTTTGGCGTTTTCTTTTCCACTTTCCAATTTTTTTCCAAGTTGTTCGAATCCATTTACCTTTGTTCCCCTCTATCCCTATAACGGACTACCCCTTTACCGATTGCCTAATAATTCTACCCCAGAGACTGTCTGGTGACGGTATTGGCAGGTTTTCTTAGAGTGTAATTATCCATTGTATATGTTGTTTCAGTGCTCGGTCTTAATTGGATTATAGCTATAGAGCGTCCTATGGTTTATAGTTCTCTGTTAACATATTCCGCAAATTTATTGTAGACACTTATTGCTGACAACCTGGATTTTCTATTGTAGGTCTTTTCCCAATCTCAAATCAAAAATAAAAGGATGAATTTTACTAGATATCTTGTAAAGTTTTTTATCATACCTTCCAACAATTTGTCGGATTACCAATGGGTACCAATTGCGCACCATTATTAGCGGATCTATGAAGCAGAATTCTGCATGATGCAGAATCTCATGCAAAAACTTTTACATGAAAAGATGGAAACAATCCTGTGGTCTGCCCTTCAAGTCGACAATAAGATATATTGACGGCATATTATCAGTTATAGCAATGTTTGTTTTATGTAATTATGCGGATTGATGGTTTGGTTAAGATAGCAAATGTATGCTACTTAAAGATAATTTATGAGAGAAGTCGAAAAAGCCGGGGTCTACAGGGTATATTGAGGAGAGGATGTCCTTCAAAATAGCACCATCTTTATATGCCTCGCACAAAATTACATTTTACTGTTATGTTGTTGCTGTGTCCCCCATTTCATGCAGATAAAGCGAACACGAATAGCCCTTATTTGTATGATCATTTCTTGAATTTATTTTTGTATATTTATATCAAAACTGAGTTTATCATTTCTGAATTTCGCAAGATGCAGAGAAATGAAGAATTCATGTGATAATGAAAACGAAGATTATCTGTAGTTACATGTACTACTTCAAACCATATTCTAGTCCTGTTCATGGAAATTCCCTTTACATACGCCTGGTGTTTTCAATAACAAAATAATTTCTCATTATATATTTAACAATTTCAACAATATTTATCATCAAAAGATAGCTGAAACGCGATAACAAGTACATTTCACGTCTTTAATTCCCGATAAGCATAGAAAGATAAGCAGAGCTGGACCTCTTGTGAACCTTCCATGATGTTGACACGAAAACAACGATGTCCTCTCTCTTCAAACAACTGTTTTCTAAGTACCTAATTATAACTAACACTGTAACTAGTGGGACATTGCTTGGACTAGGTGACGTCATAACACAACATGTGGAGATCGAATATGCATCCAGGACAGGAGTTACGGGGACACATTTTAACATATATCGAACAGGTAAATGTACATGTATAAATGTTCATGTACTAAAAGAAATATTTTTACCGCTAACAATTCGTGTATAAAATAACCATTTCAGTGAGCGAGCAAACTTAACCTTGCATATTACCAAAAGTGTTTCTTTCAAATTATTAAGAATACTTATGCACTCAATCTGATGTACATCAAGGTTTCTCTATTAGCCGTTGACTTTTTATTGTAAGGTAGAATGTTCCTCATGGGTTTGATGATTGGTCCATTTGGACACCTGTGGTACTCCAAACTTGCTGACAAGCTAGTTCTTGGATCTGGTCCGAAAGTTGTGCTTAAGAAAATAGGCGTGGATCAAATAATTTTCACTCCTTTTATTACCTGTCTATTTTTCGGTGGTAAGTAAACTAAAATATATATTCATGGACTAATCAGAGGTGTATTGACGGTTTCCTTAACTATAAAAAAAAAAATCCTATTATTTTGCCATTTCGACGATATATTTTTTGAACTGTTTATAATCATATTACAAAAGCTTTAACAGCAGTTAGATCATTCTCTTCTCCGAAAATCTACTAAAGGTTGCCTGGCAGTTAAACTTAAAAAAACATTTTATGTTTTAGATTGGATTTCATTATGGCGACCTATACCTTATACTAAAAGTGACATGTCCTGTTATCTTTACACCCCCACCCCCCCCCCCACCCCCACCCCCAATACGCGCACGTACACACGGAGCACAAAACATCATGGACAATTCATTATTGTCTACCCGTTTGTCAGAAAATTGTGTTCGGGTCAACACTATCGGAATTCCCATGGGTAACAACTGTGTCCCGTTATAAGCAAACCTATTTTTATAGTCATGTGAAGCAGAATTCGTTCGAAATCTTATACTTGAAAAGAAAAACACTTGCTGTGGCATTCAACTCGACATTTAGATGAATCGACAATGTATTGTCAAGTACCAATGGTTTTTTCCATTCATATGTTGACACGACATATCCCGCTGGGCTTAAAATAAAAGACACCACACCTCTGATGTCCCAGGGGTTCGTGTTTGCTCTGCTCCTGATTTGTATTGTTTATTGGACTTATAAGCTTGAATACTGCTCGTCATCTTCATATATTTCATGTATTTAAGCAGGCCCGTAGAACGGATGGGGAGGGGAGGAGGGGCAGGTGGACCCGTCCCCTTTTTCTAAGTATAGTATTTTGCACAAGTATATTTTCCTTTAGATTAACCCCCGCCCACCCCCGACTTTTTGCTGCTGCAAGATAAAGCACTGGCAAATACTAAGATTTGGACATTTATTTAGGTTTTTTTTTCGATTTTTAATGCTTGTCAGATTTTTTGGGGAAGCCCCCTCCACTTTTGAAACTGTTGTTACGGCCTTTACGGGTACTGAAATAAAGTCAAAGGGTTATGTAATTTTTTTTTCAGGAATGGGTCTACTTGAGGGAAGGGGAATAAACGGTGCCCTGAATGAAATTACGACTAACTTTATAGCAGTATACTCGGTAAGAAATTTCAAAACAATGTATATGATAGAACAAAACAAACTGCGCTGATGCATTATTTTTCAGAAGATGAATACATGGAATTCAAGTGCCAAATTGAAAAGTTCTCACCAGAAAACATCCTTAAAATATTGAGTCTTTGTAGTGCTAAAGTCTTAACCTTGTAACAGTAAACTTTTTTTTAATCCTAAAATTATTTTAAAAGAGAATTTGATAATTCTTTTTCTTACCCACTCTCCTCTGATTAAATTCTTTGATTTATGTTTGTAGGTAGATTGCTGTGTATGGCCGCCAGCTCAATATATTAATTTCCACTTTATCCCGGCCAGATTCAGAAGCGTTTACGTCTCAACCATGACATTGTGCTGGAATACCTTTTTATCTTATATGAAACATAGGGTAAAACGTTATTTATTTCTGGGGGTATCCAGCTTGGATTATATCACATCTTTTAATCCCATCAATTTCCTTTCATTTCAGAAAACGATGGTTTAATGGTAGCCGGGAATATCAAAAGTACCTATCCATGATGTATGGAGACCGGGTAGATTTCTCCAAAAGCTTTAAATTGTTACTTAGAACTGCATTATTGAAATAAAATTGCACTTTATCTTCAGTACGCTTTGTCTTGATATCTTTTCAAAGAGATTATGACAAAAAATACTAGTATTTCGTATTTATCGATGTAAAGCAAAGACATTAACGTGTTAATTGACAGGCATTTAATCCACAATCCTTCATTATATTGCCGTTTTGTCGTTCTTTGTAAAATATTTCCATTTCTAATTTTTTTTTCTGTGATAACTCTTTGAGTTTCGTTTTATTTGGTATTTATAGCCATGGCTCATTTCTGTAGTTTTTTTATAATACATATACATATTTGTATAGTTAATAAAAAATTGACACTAAGGTATTCAAATATGCATGTAAATTTACACTGCCTTGTGTTTATATTTTTATGGTCCCGACTATTGAAATTGGCATGGAAGTCCTCATGTGATTATAGTCTATGTTACATTTTTAAAGTCTAAATCTACAATTTTATTTCACAATGAAACTTTAAATTGTCCATAACTATTTATATAGTGGAGCTATGACTTTCATATTTCACATGTGTATTCCTTAATTGTGACAAGACCTTTTCCCGTTATGCAAATTATCCATGTTTCCAAATCTTGATGACCTTGGAGTCTGAAACACTTTTACACAAACTACTGATTAGTAATTCGTTTTATTTAGTATTTATAGCCATATCTCATTTCTGTAGTTTTATAATACATATACATATTTGTATTGTTAATAAAAAAAAAATTGCAGGTATTCAAATACTAAATAACTACAGGAAGTGGGGCAGTTTATATTTTTATGGTCACACATGCATTAAGATTGTTTTTGTCGTGTTCAGCATCACACGTCTGGCCCTGACTTGGCAAAAACTTTAACCCTGTCCATAACTATTTATATAGTGGAGCTATATATGACTTTCATATTTCACATGTGTATTTCTTAATTGTGACAAGACCTTTCCTTCGGCAGCTCCAAATCTGACCAATTGACCTTGGAGTTTGACACACTTTTACAAAAAAGTTCCAAACTTTTACTTTGGCCATAGATACTAGGACTTTCATATTTTACATATGTATTTTTTGTTAAAAGACCTTTCATTGGATACCAACAACTTTGCAATGACCTTTGGACTTGGAGCTTTAGTACTTAAAAAAAAACTTTAACCTCGGCCATAACTTTTGAACGGTAAGAGCCAGGGATATCATACTTCACATGTGTAATTCTTGTGAGAAGACGTTTTATTGGATATCAAGAACTTTGACCTTGATATATGTAATCCTTGTTAGAAGACCTTTCTTTTTAAAAACAAACCTTGACCATAACTTCTGAAGGGTAATGACCAGGGCTTTCATACTTCACACATTAATCCTTGTGACAAGACCTTTTTGACCTTGACATTTGACCTATTTTTTTTCAAAATGTTAACCTTCGCCAAACTTTTGAACGGTTAGGGCTATGGCTTTCGTACTTCACGTATGTAATCCTTGTTAAAAGACCTTTCTTGGGAAACCAACAACCTTGACCTTGGAGTTTGACCTACCTTTCGAAAACTTTTTCGTGGTCATAACTTTTGAACAGGTGGTGCTTGGGGTACTATGGATACCAACATATTTAATCTGCATTTATGAAAAGTTAAATCTTCGCTATGTTGCCATACGGAGGCATCAATGTTTCAATTAAAACACATGTCGTTATTTGATTACAATAAATACTAGATATATTTCAAAATACTATTATACAAACTGTAATAATGTAAATAAAAATAAGGTATAAAAAAACTTTTGAACAAGTTAAACAGAACTATTATCTTTATACTAATCTATCCTCAAATCAAGTTCCATCAATCGATATGTTATTTAACCTCAAAGGATATGTTTTTATAAAATCACATTGAATTAGCAAAAACTGTTTCCTTAATTATTCATAAATATGGTTACAGTCTATAGATTTCAGGGATTAGTTACCAAGAATCAATAATCCTACAAACACACAGATTTATTAATGGAGAAAAAGTTATTTTCATCTTCATTCTTTTATTTGCCAGCTTACGGAAGCATACACCAGACTTTGGTATAATAAAATTTTTCAAAAAAATGATAACAAGGGCACAGGAAAACGTAGCATCCCCTCGCAATTAGCAAATCAATAAATCAAGGCAGCATTCGACATCGGTCCCGATGCATATTTCGTTACTTCCGTTTCACACAAGGACAAACTAACACACACATTAGCGCGTTTCTACATCTCCAACCCCATTGCGAGGGGATAATAATTTGATTTTGCAGAGAGATGGGAGGAAGAAGTGGGAGAGAGAGAGAGAGAGCAGACACACAATAACGAGAAAAGACAACTTTCATTACCTTTTATTTTATATTTAATTTTTAATAGTTTTCAAAAACATTCCCTGATATAACACATGAAAATTTTCCATAAGAATTACATATAAAGTTTCAGAACATAATACATATTGGTTTCTCATTTTCATCTGGATACAAATCATACAAAGAAAACAATGGCGTTATAAACTAGCCATGAACTACTGATGTAAATACTAAAATTATGATAAATGGAAATTCAGTAAAGCAGAATTTGATTTGCATTGCTGAACCAAAATTTTGGTATAGGAATGTCATTATTTAAACCAAATAAAACACCTGAAATGAAAAGAATTAAGATATCTATTACGGGGGTACAGTGGTAATTTTATGTGATCTTTTATTTCAGATTTATTTTAACAATCAAAGCTTTTTAAGATTAAATTCCTGGTAAAACTAATTAACTCAAGTATACCATTCTAGAAAATCTATAAATCTTGCAAAAGCACATGATTTAATAAGAGAAAGAATTTAAACTTTGAAAAAAAACTTTTTCCTGTAAAGTATTGTATAACATTTATAAACCATGGCAAACAGAAATTTCATTTAAAAAAATAGTAAATAAAGATTGTCATCATTTTTATTGTAAAAATTTGTTGAATTTTGATTTGAATTTTGTGTTTTGCTGTTTCAGTACTTTTAAAAGGCTTTTGTTCCTATTCTAAAGTCATATATTCTTCATTCTTTGCTATTACTATGCTGTATTGAAATATCAAAATGATACAATGAATAGTTGATTAACAATATACAATTAACTGTCCCTAGAGTTTTAAAATATAACTGTGTGTTTTTATGTGCATATAATGGAGACTACTTTAATAATGAATCCCGTTCCTCATTAACAGCATTAATTCCTTAATATTTAATATTCACATGATGTGCCATTCAACCTCTTTGTATAAAACAGAAAGTTCTACAAACCAAGGCTGTATTTACTAAGTGTACTTGGTATATATGTCTCTGCTCTAAAAAAAGAGATGCAGACTGAACAAAAAATAAATTGAACTCATAATTACACTCTTACAGAAGAGATATACATGTACATCAATCAGAAAATCAATGTCTTTGTGCAAGGACCCTAAAGGATGTTCACACTCATGAACTCATCCATTATTCATTTTTCTACCTCCAATTAAAAAGATCTACACACACTCTGACTCTGTTCAATCACTTCTAGCTGAATGTCTTCACTTTGTCTAGAAAGAATATAAATTTTGTGATAATAATTTATGAATTGTGTCTGTGGATGTGTGTGTGTCTTTCAGCATGCAATCTTTCTTTCATTTAGTATGACCATATACATGTTTATGGGAGGAATCACAACTTTCAGACAGAAAAAAGATACCAGCAGCAATGACACAGTGTTGTCAGCAATAATAGTTTTAATCTTACAAATTGACTAGAATAACAAGGAATTATATTAAAATCATTTCATCATATAAACAATTGGTGTAAGTCTGTATAGAGAATAGTACCATAATAATATCATAGTAAACATAAAGAAAAGCTGATTAACAGACAAAATGTAATGCTCAAAGATATTGAAATGTGTTAACATTTTTCGATCAGAATATTTTTTACACTTGCCAAAATTATACATTAAATGTAAAACACAGTTACAGCAAAGAAGCTCATAATGAATTTACATTTTCAGCCAAGTGATTTTATTTTTTGAAATTTAAAAACATGCAATTTACTTAAAGAATAATGTGTTATATTTACAGGAAATAGCAAATCGAAATGAGTTATCCCTGGCATTTTCTATAAATGTATTTTACTGTATATTGTATATTAAAACAAACTTTTAACAAAAAGAAAATGAATTGCATATGAGTTGTATATATTGGAAATGTGAAATTACAAAAAATGTATACATGTTTGTTATGTACATTTTGTACATAATATTTTCATCTTTAGAAAAACTTAATATTACAAATATTTCAAATTTTATCTAAATGGAAAAACTCATGCTTATGAATCGCTAAGGTGCAAATGCAATTCAAATATAAAAGTAAATATGTCAAAATTTTTAGTAATAATGAATATAATCATAATGGCACAGCCATATATTGAATCATAAACAATCAACAACAAACAAAATCAGGCAATAAAATTAAAAGCAGTGTAGAGAGGTATATAGAGGAGTTACTTGTAAACAGTATACTGAAGTGGTTCAATCTTTGTTGATAGGAATTTGTGTACCTTTGGCCATATTTCGTTGGAATATTTTCCTGTGAATTCCTCCAGGATTCCGAGGTTCCTATTGAAATATTTTTTTTAAAAATACACATATATAACTATTAGATTGAGATATTCAAATATGAATAACAGACTAGGCGTAAATATATAATACTAAAAGAATTGTTAAAGTAAAGTTTATAATTGCATAACTTGAAAATGAGGTCATTGATATATGCACAGTATACTGGTAGGTTTGTACACATATTTTAGAATATTTACATTTCCATTTATTTGTCTTTAACATTCCTTACAAATTAGAATTTTGTTCATTTTCTCATGAACAAGCTGCTACCATGGATGAGCATGAATATCTGTTTACCACTGTTAAGTACTGGTTACCTATAAATACCTCACTTGACGTCAAAACTATAGTGCAAACTGTTTTGCTTTAAAAATGACAGTTGAATGGCATAATTTGTGGAAACTCATCTTTACCCTAGAAAATAATTTAAATATAAGAAATAAATTTCATTTTTACTGAAGACAAACAAATTCATGAGGTAAAATACATGAACTAACAACCCTTTCACGACGGCAAATTAAAATCTACAGGCTGAAGCGCTAAAATTAAACTTTTTCATGAAAATCATGCCGGTAGTGACAGAATTAAGTTCATGTTCTACATGGTAATCTTCACACGCAAAAAAAAATTAAAATATTTTTCTAATTGAATATGGTAAATGATCCATGAGCAAGGCTAATAAAAGTGGTGTTGGAAATTTTTATAGACTTTCAGAAGAACATTTTTTTAGTCAAATTGATAGGGAATACATGAGGGTAATTTAGACATTTTGAAAATAGATCTATGGGCACATATTTCCTTTTTTGGCAGAATAACAAGGATTTATATTTTTCATATATTTGTGTACAAATATATAAAACACAGAAGTTAAATTTATACATTTTTTAAAATTTCTACATTCACTCATTTGTGAATAGGCACTTAAAAATGCATCTGCAGGGTGGTGGGTGGGTATTTTTTTTGAACTTGCTCAAATTACCTTTTAGTTACGTTCAGTGAATACCTAGTTAAGTCCTGTATACCTAAAGTAGTTAAGTACTGTTTACCTATAGTAGTTAAGTACTGTTTACCTATAGTAGTTGGTTACTATTTACCTATAATAGTTAAGCACTGGTTCTGTGTGATTCTGATATGTTTCCAGCCTCTTCCTTACAGTTTCTGGTTTATCATCCTCCCTTTGTATTAAATCTTCACCTGTCACATCATCTTTACCCTAGGGAAAAGAATTGTTCAGTTTTTAAAAAATTGGTCTCTTTGACATTAATAGGGTTCATCTAATATTACTGCAAACACAAACAAATAAGTCCATCAGTTACTCCTAATTTAGAAATATTGCTATATAGTAAAATACCACATACTCAGATCAATTCATTGAAACCTTGCACTTTAGGTCACTCATGAATATGAACAAATGGACCTTTCTACTAGGGAAATAAAATAGTTTGAAATCTTTATAAGAATTTTAGGGAGAAAAGGGGAAATTGCTTAAAAAATTTCTTTCACTAAAAATATCAATAATAAAGAATGTTTACTAAGCAATATAAGAATATTTCAATACTTTTAAATACATACTGGAACTTTTGGAGGATTAAATTCTGTATTATAGATCCTGCCACTAGGAGCATGTGTCCATCTGACCGTTAATCTCTGCATTATGATTTCAAACGGAACATTAAGATTAATAACAACATCAGCTGGTTCCTTGGAGTGAAGAGCCTCAGCCTGGGGCACAGTCCTTGGAAAACCTTCAACACACAATACTTGGTTAAACAATATGCAATGCTAAAATGTAGATGTAAGAGGCTGTCATTGACAAGTGCAATCATTTACCACCTTAATTTTAACCACTTTTTAATTAAAATTTCTTAAATGTTTCTAATATAAACAGTTGTTGATAAATGTAATTATTTATAACACTAATATCCATTTTTGACATGTTTAAAGGTGAAATTGTTAATTTTGTTGAAATTCACTTACCATCAAGAAGCCAACTATCATGTTTCAGTTTCTGCAGTTCATTCAGAATTAGCTGAACCATAACATTATCAGGAACTAATTGACCTTTATCAATGAATGTTTTAGCTTCTAAGCCTTCCTCTTTAAAAAAAAAAAATAACAAAAATAAATATTCAAATACATATACAATTTGCATTTACAGTTACTATAACTTGTAAATTCGAGGACTGGGATAGGAATTATCCATCATGAAAACAATGATATTCCCCTGTTCTTTGAGTTACCCATGAAACATACCCACCACAGTTTGATAAAACATTCGTATGTAAACAATGCTTACTTGTTTTGTTATGAATCTGGGATCGCAAAAGGTCACCACTTGATAAGTGTTTCAGGTTGAAATCATTCACGATTCTAGAAGATATTGTGCCTTTTCCAGAACCTGGAGGTCCCATAATTATTGTTCTTAATGTTTTTGAAATCATCGTTACTTGTACCGTTGAAATTATTAGGTAGAAGCTGAACAAAAATTTCATACAACTCTAACGTGACAGATAAAGTGAAAGTGAAAATAAAGCATTAACTCATTCCAAGATGAAGGTTGTCACCAGTATGCAATATTATAGTCATTAGAATAAAAAAAATACAAATTTATTTATTGAACTTTTTTCATGTTGATTATTTAATTTTTTATATGTTTCAAGATATTTAGATATTTTATTAAAGGACGCGAAGTTTAAATGTACACATTATCTAATAATAAGGTTGGTTGTCGCAAAATATTTCAAATAATATTTGAATAATTGAAAAAATATTATTGATAAAACTGTGTAAGAATTAGTCAAATTTTGTAAGTTTTACCTATCAAAACGGTTTTATAACTCCATGACTTTTTCCAGTTGTTTTACGACTACAGATTCAAAACACGCACACGAGGGAAAGGGCTTTTGAAAACAGACCAAGCCAAAGAAGGTACAACGGCTGTTTCATTGTATTTTATGTCTTTGTTCCTTGTTATTCATTTAATTTGCAAGCTTTTAAGTATTTTTTATCTTTGATAATTCTGTTTTTACGACGGTAAACATGTTTAACTCTCTCAATCACTGGTCTTCAGTTTAAATATTCTCATAATATTCTGACAATCTGTTTTTCAAATATTGAAAATCAGATTCATTATAATAATACATGTTAAATAGGCCTAATAAAAATATTTTTAATAGACATATGCAATACAAAATGGAAGATTCGTCATTTGAAGAAGAGCCAACCCGAACAAAGAGACGTCCTCCACGAAGTAAAAATAGAAAACAGACTAGCATGAGGGGCAACCCAGAAGGGGACAGTCTGTATCATAAACCCCCAACCAAGATAAGAGCCCCTCCCAACACAGACAATGATGACTCTTTCGAGGCCCAGTCACCAAGAAAACGGAAGAAAAAAGTGGAGCAAGATAATATTGAAGTTATTGAGAAAAAGCACATGGTGAAGAAAAAGAAATCCATGTATAGTGATACAGATTTGTCCTCTTTGGACGTTACTGATACACCAGACACACTAAGCCAGATCAGTGCCATTGCACCAGTGTCAGACGTGTCCATGATGACAACGTTCAGGAATCCGAGAGGTCGACATGACATGACGTGGGAGAAGGCAGTACAGAAAGCCAGAGGTCAGCCTGATGGTGCAGAAAGGTCGTTCAATAGGAAGAAAAGCAGTAAGCTCGTGCTTCAAAACCGACCAGAAGTCATCAGAGAAGTAGCAGAAGGAGTAGAGTCTGACAAGTCGGTAGAAAACATTCCAGCTGTAGCCAATATACCAGAGGAAGAGCCCCAGCCACTGGAGAGGAGAAAATCAATGAAGGTACTCCTTTGGGTGGAAACTTGTTAAAAAAATTTTCTTTCAATGCTTTCTCCCAGATTGATTATTTACATAAAATATCCAATATTTAACATACAGTTCAATTTCTTGTTGTTTTTTTTTCCTTATCAACAATTTGTGAAGATGTTCTGATTTATCAGGTAAAGATTAAGAGAGCAGCCAGTAATGCAGCTGGAAAACTTCGGACTTTGAAAACAAAGAAACAACTTCATGAGAGTCGTACTACACTTGGAGCCAGGAAAAAAAGACTTGATGAATCCCAAATGGAAGAAAAATCAGGTAATACTGAACATACCCAGCATGAGAGAGGACTATACAAGTTTTTGGAACTTGTTTCCAAATTGTAACTTTGAATTTGACACATACATGTACTTGTAAGCATGTTAAATGTCAAGAAAGTGGTGCACCCATGTTTTGCACAGTATCATATAACATTTACAGCTATGAAAAGTAATTCATATTATTTATTGCTTACATTTCAGAATCAAGAAAGACAAAATTAAAAGAATTGCCATTTAAAGAAAGGAAGAAAGTTAGGAAAATGCTCAAGAACAATTTTGAAGCAATTCAAAGATCCAAGAAAATCTGGGAAAATCTACGAAGGTTTGTTTTTATGTGGAAGTCATTCTCACTTAAACATGTAACTCTCCATTAAAAAAGCTGAAAATCATCTTCAAAATAAAAATATATAAGTTAAAGGATATATAAGTGTCAAATCTCTTTATCTTGAAATTTATTAAGACAGAAAAATTTTTAGGGGGGATACTCCAAGATACTCTAGATATCCAGGTTGAAATACTAAAAGGAAAAGTGGTTCGGACTGTTTAAGATTTGAAGTTTAAATGTATTTGTCATTTTCCAAATTATTGCTATTTTTTAGACAAGATGTTCCTGAAAAGGAGAAGGTGGCTATGTGTAATGAATTACTTGAAATGGTCAAAGGCAACATGAAAGAGGTAGGGCTTAATTAAGTGCGAAAATATTTTGAAACTGTGTAAATGAGTCTTTTTTTAATTCAGTTTCATCCTTAAGAGCTTGTACACATGTTCAGTGACTGTATACAAAATCAATTTTCAATAGAAGTCTTTTTATTGGATCTTCTTTAAAACTGATCAAAGGCTTTCAAATTCTTTGATTAAGTAAAGATGTATCTTAATCCAAAAAAAAATTAATTTACTTCTAAAATATTCACGTTTTACCCAGTTATTGATAAGGCATGTTTCACATACATGTATTGAACTAAGAATTTTTCTCGACCATTTTACCAGTTTGCCTTTGCCCATGACACAGCCCGTGTCCTCCAGTGTTTAATACAGTACGGATCACCAGAACAGAGAGAAATTGTTTTTCAGGAGATCAAAGGTATGCACTGTCATTCCAATTCTCCTCAGTTTAAAAGGAGGGGGACTTTGAATTCAACAGCTACATGTATCATCATTTCCCTCTTAGATTCTGTATTAAGATGCCAACAACTTTGTTTAAACATTAAAATGAATACATATGTATGTATATCATACATATATCATTTAATATATAAATCATATGATATTCAAAGTTCCAAGCATCAGAATGTTTCTCGTTCAATCAAAGTTAAATTTGAAATATTTTGATTTTTGCCTCTATTTTCAGATCAAATAGTCTTAATGTCCAAGTCAAAGTATGCAAAGTTTCTTGTGAAAAAATTTCTCATCTATGGGTAAGTAATTTGATAAAGAATTTGAAATATGCATTACCCTTTGGTAAAAAGAAACAGAACTTTAAATGAATTACTCGGTATTTTTATCATTAATTATAGCTCTTACCGTAATTTCGGGAATATAGGTCGATGGGGTATATAGGTCGAAAGGCTCATTTTCAGCCTTAAATTTTGAAAAATCCTAAGATAGGTCGAACTTACTATATAGGACGAGGCTTTGTTTCCCGTTTTCTTCAGATTTTAACGCAGATACAACGTATCAGAACAGGTAAACCCCTAAAATTATCGGTTATTCCGTGACATGAACGTATCAAGAAAATAAACAGGTATTTTAATGAGTACAGCAATTAAATACTGTTTTGTAAAAAAAATGTAGTTAAAACTTCTTTGAATTGTGTAACTACTTATTTTTCTCCAACTTGCCTGTTCAATGCCTCCGTAGTTTCACACAGTTGTTAAATCAGAGGCATAAATAACACGTAAATACGTTATTATTTTACAGCTATAAATCGGGAGATACCCGAGACCAAAGAATAGTAATTCCGATTTCAGAACAACTTGGACACATTCCTAATAAATTTTACTCAAACATTATTTACCGGTGGACGACAATTACTTCGATGTCCGCCATTTTTATTTTTCTTCTCCAGGGATTTGCTAAAACACGCAAATGACCACTGAATGTATATATCAAGCAACAGTAAAGAATTGAAATCATATTAACACTCTATAAGTTTAATTTATAAATTTTAATTGAGAGTACATTCACAATTTGACTTTCAACATGAATTTCACGACATTGTTTGTTCAATGATGTCCAACACTAATACCCTATAATGGCACGTGGGTTTCTTATGATGAACATGCCTCTGCCATCATGCCCCGCAGGCATTAAACTGGCTGCCTCAACCAACAGTGAACACAGGTGTTAAACACCTTTGTGTACACAGTGTACGGTAACTCCCTTTATCTGTCAGACAATTAAAATTCTGTTAGAAGCCAATCTGTGTATACCGGTAAATAATTAATTAATATTTAAAAAAAACCGTAATGACTTCTTTTTTTTAATTAAATTTAGGAATTGAATTGATTATTTCACTCGTTTTACATTTAAATAAACATAAGACAATAAAAAATATTTGATATACTATTTCAATTTATCGCTACTAATAAATGGTAAAAACACAACAGTTGTGATCGTGAAAATTTTCCGTATTTTAAATTTTGATACGGTTGCGGTTTTACTTTTAGTACACGATCGCGACTTCCTAACTTCACAAGATGGATACCGCATGATGTTAATGGATAATACGTTGAGGAAGTATTTAATAGATATAGCAACGTTGTTTTCCTTTGTCATCAACAGATAATTAATGGAACTTATTTTGTAAGAAAGCTATAGAATAAATATTTTATTGTTTACTGGAGCATTAATTTTTTTGTGAAAATAATCAAAAAAATTACGAAAGTGGCACAGATTTGCTTGGAAATTGGCGTAAATTTTACTGAATTGGGGGCATTTTTCGTAAACTTGAGCCTTAAATAGGTCGGATTCTGAATATTGGTCGACCCCAGCGGTTCTGAGAAAAAAAGTATCGACCTATATTCCCGAAATTATGGTAATAGTCTTATGTGAAATTAAAGGCAAAAGCTATAGGATGTCTATTAACTGTGTTCTGGAGAGAAAAAAAAATTACAGGGATAGACATTAACTTTTATATTCACTTGTCTTTCAGGCAAGTGAACTACAGTTTTGACTTGTCCAAATGCAAAACTGAGAATTAACTTGTCCTGGGCAATCGGACAACAGTTAGTGTTGATCCCTGAATTACGTAAACAATGATCGACAATCAACAAGATAATAATATGACAGTTCTCTACACAGTGTTTGGGTAACAGCCCAATAAATATTTATTGCCTGACATTTGCACAGTAAACAATTTTCAATAGTTCAGCATTGAAATATC